AGCTGTCATGCAGTGAGGGGTTTGCGTCTTTAATCTTTGACAGTTTGGGTTCATTGAACAGTAAGAATGATTAATAAATACATATGAAACAGTCCCCTAAAAGTCACGTCTCGTCTTCAGTTTTGGGCTCAGGCATGGTTTTCACTCACACTACGTACCGCAAAGCGGTACCGCACCAAGCGTACCGCACCAAAGCCCAAATGAACCACGCTTTGGCACACCTCTTCCAACCGGGCCAGGGCCAGCCAAATGTACCGTGCCTTCTTAGGGTGCTTTCACACCTGTGAATCGATTCAGTTGTTCCGAAACAGAGATTAAAATTGTTACATTGTTGCTCTTTGCTCTTGGAGCGGTTCGCTTTCACATTGCAAAGTTTCTAATCGGACTAAAACAGCTAAAACAAGTCACGTGCGAGTAAACTCTCCTCACATTGATCAGAGTGTCAGGGTTTATTTTGCAGAGTCCTGCTCAGCTGTCAGGAGAGATGGTGGTTTGGTGGTGATTGACAGGGTGCGCGCGCGTGACGTGTCTGAGGAGAGACGCGGTGGGGAGGGGTGAGAAGGGTGCGCGACGATGCCTATTTGAGGACTAGGAGAGAAACGCGAGATTACCGGGAGATCATCACTCGTTTGCGGGCATCCGGAGACTCGCGAAACTTCCCGCCCTACTCATAATTCTCTCTTCATATAGCCGTAAGCCTATTACATATCCATAAAACACTGTAATATAACCGCGCTCGGATCGGATCGCTTTCTCACTGCAATCGAACCGCTCCAGGGTTCGTTTCAATCGAGCCGAGACCACCTCACTCAAGCGATCTCGGAGCGATTACTGGAACAGAGTGCGATTGCCCTGTTCACATATGCCAATCGAACCGCGCTAACTGGGCAAACGAGATACGTTCCGAAACAAAAGTGTAGGTGTGAAAGCACCCTTAAACAATCCGGGAAACGGGCCTGGGCACTGTTCGGATAGCATAGTGCGAGTACGCCCTAAAAAGTGAGTAGACCCATTGCTTTTAAAGCGATTAGGTGACTTTACTTAAATGTCAGCAAACAACTAAAGGGATTAGTTGACCATATTTAAAGTGAGTAAACTCGCTGATTTTAAAATGATTAGTTGACTTTACTTAAAATAAGTGAGTAAGCCTGTTGCTTTGAAAGTTAGTTGCCTTTACTTAAAGTGATTAAATGTGTTGCTTTCAAACCCATTGCCCTAATTTTTAAGGAAATTAATTATGTGCATAATTATTAAAAAAATTAAATCAAGTCAACTGAACCGTTACAGCGGATTTACTCACTCAAGTCAACATTTTGCTTGTAAGGCAACGGGTTTACAATTTTTTTTTTTTTTTTAAAGTAATGTCCAGTGTCAATAATATAAACATCAGCACTGAATAAGCACATAATATACAAAATATTGTATACATAATATACAATTATGCACTGGTGGAAAGAATTCTGAAAAATCATCCTTGAGTAAAAGTACCATTACTTGCCTAAAAATGTAGTGCAAGTAGAGTAAAAGTATCTGTTGTAAATATTACTCAAAGTGTGAGTAAAAAGTAGACATTTCAAAAATACTCAAGAGTAGTGAGTAGTGCGTATTACGCTGTGAAAAGCTGATGAATTTATATGTAATTTGTGGATGTGTGTAAACATAACATTCTGTAGTTCATTTAGTTATTGCCCAGCAGGCACACAACAACATAAGACTTTAATATAAGGTTAGATTTAGGTTGTAATGTCAGTTGACCGATATTCAACATCTAAGAACAACTTTATTTTGATGTCCAATAATGACATTGATATTTGGTTGATTTTTAGGTTGGGTTTGAAAGTTACCGAAATTTTACGTTGAGCCAACATCCTAAACCAACATCATATTGACGTCAAATACTGACATCAGGTATAGCAACTAAAATCCAACGTCTGATAGATGACATGGTGGTAACGTCCACACAATGTCAAGCTGTAACACCATTAGACGTTGATTTTTGGTTGGTTTTAGGTTGGATGTTGGACACTGACGTCGGCCTGATGTTGGGTTCTGACTTGAACCTGATTTTCATTTCCAAACAAAATGCAACATCCCCACGATGTTGGGGTACAACATCAATCTGACGTTATGTTGATGTCTTGTGCCTGCTGGGTGTTTATGGCTATTTCGGTCATCATACAGTAAACATCCGTCATCTTCTCATCAGTGACATGCATCTAAACAGTCTCTGGGTCAATACATGTAAAGATTTTAAACATCTTCTTCTGGACACTGCAATTATAAATCGCTCATTTCTTGAGGCAATTCATTATGAGGTGATTTACCTTCTATGTGTGATCTGATTGGACAGGAATCACAGGACTGATTTTTCTAATCCTCATAGACAGGAAAAAATAAAGTAGAGACTGTGGGTTGAAGGAAAGCAGTGGAGTAAAATTACCGATACTGCACTAAAAATGTAGCCCAGGGAAAGTAAAAGTACACATCTTTAAAACTACTAAGTATATTACAATTCCTGAGAAAAACTACTAAAGTAATTTGAGTGTTTGTAATTTGTAACTTTACACCACTGCAGTTATGCATACTTTCCATAATACAAAATTAAGTATACCTTTTCCTGTTTATTTTTTAGCGCCTTACATATTTGTTCTTTATATTTTAATATGATATTAATTTACAAAGGTTAAAACTTACAGCTTTTATCTTAAAGGATCAGATGTTGGGACGCTGCTGAGTAAAATTAGAAATCCATGTCAAGCACAGATTGTCTTACAGCTACTAGTAATTGTAAGTAACATAGTAAGTTCTTAAGAGGGCCAAAACAAGTCGACCACATTAAAAATATCCCAATCATAGATAACATGAGTTGATTTGTTTTTCAACACAACAAGTTCTGCTCGGGATGTTTCAAAATCTACATGTTTAAAATTTAGAAGCTAAGAGATTAATGGGTTATAAATGAACTGGTTAAACTTTTCCGCATCTAAGAAATAAGCCATGTGAGAATCATCTTAATGTTTGACAGGAGTTATGTTAGGAATTAATTACTCACTGTAATTATGCTGGGTGTTGGTTTGTACTGTGAAGCTATACAAACAAGTTCTGTTTAATTTGTTTGACTGGCTTTTACAAAGATTCTGAATTACACAGACCATTGAACTAGGGCTGCAACTAACGCTTATTTTAATAATCGATTAATCTGTCAATTATTTCTTTAAGCGATTAATCGGGTTAAAAAATTCAAGAAAAGCATTCATTTCCAACCCTTTATTTAAAAAAGGTCATCCATGAGCTGTTATAATAATAACAACAATAATAAAATAAAAATAACTAAGTTGTTTTGTCCTGTTTTTAATCCAAACATCTAAAAAAATGGAGAGCGGATAGTTTTTCAACATATTTCTGAACATAATAGTTTTTATAACTCATTTCTAATAACTGATGTATTTTATCTTTGCCATGATGACAGTAAATAATATTTGACTAGATATTTTTCAAGACACTTCTATACAGCTTAAAGTGACATTTAAAGGCTAAACTAGGTTTATAAGGTTAATTAGGCAGCTAAGGGTAATTAGGCAAGTTATTGTATAACGATGGTTCTGTAGATTATCGAGAAAAATATAGCTTAAAGGGGCTAATAGTTTTGTCCCTAAAATGGTGTTTAAAAAGATTAAAAACTGCTTTTATTCTAGCCAAAATAAAACAAATAAGACTTTCTCCAGAAGAAAAAATATTATCAGACATACTGTGAAAATTTCCTTGCTCTGTTAAACATCATTTGGAAAATATTTTGAAAAGAATAAAATATTCGAAGATATTCAAATATAAAATATTCGAATATATATATATATATATATATATATATATATATATATATATATATATATATATAACATTTTATTAATCAAACTTAAAATCTTAAGTGTTTTTGATGAATATTGAGTGCATTCTGACTAACAGTAACTCTTTTATGAAGGGTGACATGTTTTAACATTACGTTCCTGCACCAACAAATAGATGACCATGAAATGTTGGACTTAGGCATATTATTTTACTGTTTAACTCAGTAGTTCTCAAACTCTTTTCATCAAGTACCACCTCGGAAAAAAAATTGTCTCTCCAAGTACCACCATAATGAGCAGTATTGAAATAGAGTAGCGTAGTAGGCCCAGTAAAGCAGCTACAGCTCTGTACATTTCCAGAACGAGGCAGATTAATTCCTACTATTTTATTGTTTTAATTCCTATTTATTTTTGTCAGCTACTTTAAACGTTATAAATAGTTTGGATATTAACACTGTATTAAAAAATATATATAAATAAAAATAACAAAAACAAACTAAAAACGTCAACATTTAAATTAAAATGTGCTTTTAAACATTAAAAATGATAGGTTACTGTTTTTAAAAGCTAAAAAAAAAGTCTGTACTTAAATGTAAAGCATTAACATGGAGTAGCCTATTTATCAACACCTAGAAATGTTGCCTGGACCTCATAAATATAGGCTATATGTCATCATATTCATATATAAAATAATTTTTGATAGATTTTTAAATATATGTAGCATGTACATATGACATATTTAATTCCTCCACGTACCACAAGAAGTGGTACACAGTTTGAGAACCACTGATTTAACTTTTATGTGCGAGCAGGCACATGCCTATTATAATAATAATAATAACATTTTTAGGCTATATATGTAGAATATTTATGTAGTTGGCTCGAATACGCGTTTACAATGGTATAAAACCGTTGTAGGGGTGGTCAAATGTATATTTCTATTATCTAATAATTATTAACATTATTATTAAGGACACAGATAAGATCAATCTATTTCTCGATGTTTAAAGGGCTGACCTTCCGTAGATCGTGTTTTGACGTCTTTCAGTGTGGATTAAGCGTTAACTTTGGGTGTCAAACACCCCTGTATATCGCACCCCTGTTTTCAGACTGCTTCAGACTGTTTGGTCACATGATACACTCGGAGAAACTTTGAACGGGTTTTAGCCTTCACAACTCCTCCTCCACAGACCTTTAAATGCTCTGCTTGACTGACTCTTAAGTCAACTAGACCTGACAGACAAACTCAGCTGTCAACAACAGTCCGCATGATAACATAAGGATTAAAAACAAACCTGTGTTAGGATGTCTAACTTTGACGAACTTCTGCAGCACGCTGGAGATTTCGGCTTTTATCAGAAGAGAATCTCAGTTTTAGGTTCTTTGCCTATTCTGCTGCTCGCGTTTGTGCTAATAGGAGTTGTGTTTTTAGGATACACACCAGATCATTGGTGTAAAACAGCGAGTCTTCAAGAGAAATGTGGTTTTTCGGAGGAGCAGGTGCGGGATCTGACGGTTCCCCGCACAGGCGCGCGCGGCGCGTTCAGTAAATGCGTGAAATTCGATGACGCGCTTCGGAACGGGAGCGCGCTCAGCTGTAATATATCCATATTTAACAACAGCACTCATCTGTCGGCCTGTAATGAAGGCTGGACGTTTAATGAGAACCGGACCACCATTGTTACTGAGGTGAGGACACTAACTTCTCCGTAAACAATGTTAAATAGTAATTTATAGTAAACTCCAGTGTTTTTGAGCCATACTATAGTAAAGTACTGGAAATAATCCTATAGTTGCTATGGTAACATAAACAGTATGTAAACGAATGACCCAACACTGTAGTTTTTTGTTTTACAACTGGCATATTATGGGCGTCACGATGGCGCAGTGGGTAGCACGATCGCCTCACTGCAAGAAAGTCGCTGGTTCAAGCCCTGACTGGGTCATTTAGTATTTCTGTGTAGTTTTGTTCTCTCCGTGTTCCCGTAGGTTTCCTCCGGGTGCTCCAGTTTCCCCCACAGGTCCAAAGACGAGGTTCAGGTGAATTGGGTATGCTTAATTGGCCATAGTGTATGTGTGTGAATAGGAGTGTATGGGTGTTTCCCAGTGATGGGTTGGGGCTTGAGGGGCATCCTTTCGTAAAACAAATGCTGGATAAGATACACCAGTTTATTCATTCATTTTCTTTTCGGCTTAATCACTTTTTATAACCCGGGGTCACCACAGCAGAATGAACCGCCAACTTATCCAGCACATGTTTTACGCAGAGGATACCCTTCCAGCTGCAACCCACACTCATTCACACTCATACACTGCAGACAATTTAGCCCACACAGTTCACCTGTACCGCATATCTTGGGACTGTGGAGGAAACCCACACGGACGCGGGGAGAACATGCAAACTCCACACAGAAATGCCAACTGACCCAGCCGAGGCTCGAACCAGCGACCTTTTTGCTGTGAGGCGACATCACTATCTACTGCTCCACTGCGTCGCCCTACACCAGAGTTTACTGTAGTAAAAACTAAAGTTTATTTAATTTGGTTAATTTACCATGGATAATACCACAGTATGCTGCTGCATTCATTATCAAAGAGTCGTAAATGTTATAATACTGGAATACAAAATATGGTTCAAAATCACTACACACTATTTACTATAAATATATATAGTATCTTTTTATTTGGGCCGTTTTAATTTGTGTTTTATGATAAGTAAAAGATTATTTGTATACAGTAACACTTTTAGTGTACTATAAAAATATTCTACCAGCTCTGCTTCAGAAATGACTCAAAGCTCAAGTCAAAATAACAAATGATTAACATGCATCTGCTTGCTTCGGGTTTGCATGCTTTTATCAGTGTTTAAACTTGAGCACAGCTGCTCAGTAAAGAGTCTGTGCATGTGTTATATTTTTATATATGTGTTGTAATAACTCTGTATATTGCATGTATTGTCTCCTACTGTAGTTTTCATTGGTTTGCGAAGACTCCTGGCTTGCAGACCTGAACCAGGTATCTTTAGCTGGAGGGTTCTTTATAGGTGCCCTAGTCACTGGATACCTGGCTGACAGGTTTGATTACCAAATCTTTCATGTATTGGCATGCTGTTTTGGTATAGCATGTCAAAGTATTCGTAAACAAATCTAATTTCATGTGCTGTGATGGCATAAATGATTGACAATAATAAAGCAATCTAAGTATATTAAATTTTTTAATAACATTTTAGATTAATGAAAATGGCTTAACAGTAAAAAATAAATAAATGAATAATTTCTAAAGAATTTATTAAACTTTTACTGATAGGCCAAGGACAAGATAAATAAAAAATTATTTTATATACATAAAAATCTTGTTGAATGGAAGTATAGATGTTTAACTTATAAAAAAATAGGAAAATATGGTGTTTTTTATATTTAAATATATATTAATATTTATTTATTTACATGTATATATACAGTTGAAGTCAGAATTATTAGTCCCTCCTTTTAATTTTTCTTCTTTTTTAAATATTTCCCAAATGATGTTTAACAGAGAAGGGACATTTCACAGTATGTCTGATAATATTTTTTATTCTGGAGAAAGCCTTATTTGTTTTATTTTGGCTACAATAAAAGCAGTTTTTATTTTTTTTAAAAACATTTTAAGGTCAATATTATTAGCCACTTTAAACTTATTGTTTTCGATAGTCTACAGAACAAACCATCATTATGCAATAACTTGCCTAATTCCCCTAACCTGCCTAGTTAACTTAATTAACCCAGTTAAGCTTTTAAACGTCACTTTAAGCTGTATAGAAGTGTCTTGAAAAATATCTAATGAAATATTATTTACTGTCATCATGGCAAAGATAAAATAAATCAGTTATTAGAAATAAGTTATTAAAACTATTATGATTAGAAATGTGTCTAAAAATCTTTGTAAAACAGTATTGGGAAAAAAGTTACAGGGGGGATAACAATTCTGACTTCAATTGTGTGTGTGTGTGTGTGTGTGCGTGTGTGTGCGCATGCGTGTGCGCTTGTACACGTGTGTGTGTGTGTGTGTGTGTGTGTGTGTGTGTGTGTGTATATACACACAGTTGAAGTCAGAATTATTAGCCCCCCTGAATTATCAGACCGCTTGTTTATTTTTTTCCCCACTTTCTGTTTAATGGAGAGAAAGAGATTTTTTCAACACATTTCCAAACATAATAGTTTTAATAACCCATCTCTAATAATTGATTTAATTTATCTTTGCCATGATGACCGTAAATAATATTTGACTAGATATTTTTCAGGACACTTCTATAGAGCTTAAAGTGACATTTAAAGGCTTAACTAGGTTAATTAGGTTAACTAGGCAGGTTAGGGTAATTAGGCAAGTTATTGTATAACAATGGTTTGTTCTGGGAATTATCGAGAAAAAATGCAGCTTAAAGGGGCTAATAATTTTGTCCCTGAAATTGTGTTTAAAAAATTAAAAACGGCTTTTATTGTAGCTGAAATAAAACAAATAAGACTTTCTCCGGAAGAAAAAATATTATCAGACATACTGTGAAAATTTTTGAAGTAAAAATGTGAAGTATTATATTTCAAATTATAAAAAATGTCTTGCTTTTTATTGGGTTTCTTCTTAATATGGTTAAAATTGCTTTATAGGAAAAAAAATACACAAAAACTAAATTTAAAGCTGTATTACTTTATATGTTTTAGATGCTTTAAAACAGCTTTCATGTTTGACTTTAATGCATTTTTTTATATTCAAAGTTGTGTCTTTACATTATTTAATCTGAGCTAATGTAAAGTTGTATGAGTTGTATGAACTATTAAATATCATTAAACAGTGTAACAAATGTTAATGTCTAGTGTTAGCTAATGCCCAAACTAAAAGTTTAACTAATAGAAATTTAATGTTAAATCTATTTCTTTACAGGTTTGGGAGAAAATCATGTTTTATTGCATCAATATTTGGCCTTGGAGTCTCTGGGACATGCATTATTTTTTCTCCTTACTACCCTCTGCTCCTGTTCTTTCGATGTTTGCAAGGATTTTTTGCCAAAGGAGCATGGACCGCCACATATGTGTTAAGTAAGTACACGCTTATATTTAATATTTAGTGCTGTTTTACAATTAATCGCAACTATTTGTGTACAAAATAAAAGTTCTTCTCGTGTTTCCTCTGGTTGCTCCAGTTTCCCCAAGTCCAAAGACATGTGGTATATAGGTGAATTGGGTGAGCTAAATTGTCCGTAGTGTTAGTGTGTGAATGAGTGTGTATGAATGTTTCCCAGTGATGGGTTGCAGCCGGAAGGACATCCTGTGTAAAACATATGCTGGAAAAGTTGGAGGTTCATTCCACAGAGGACACCCCAGATTAATAACTAAGAGACTAAGCCGAAAAGAAAATGAGTGAATGCATAAAAGTTCTCCCCATGTTGGCGTGGGTTTCCTCCAGGTGCTCTGGTTTCCTCCACAGTCCAAACACATGTGCTATAGGTGAATTGAATAAACTAAATTGGCCATAGTGTATGAATGTGTGTGTGAATGTAAGAGTGTATAGGTGTTTCCCACTACTAGGTTGCAGCTGGAATGGCATTCACTGCGTAAAACATATGTCGGAATATTTGGCGGTTCATTCCGCTGTGGCGACCCCTGATAAATAAGGGACTAAGCCAAAGGAAAATGAATGAAGCTTTTTCTGTACAGGTATGTATATAAGTACACTGATGTGTATTTATATAAACATGACAATACACAGTATACATTAAATGATTTTGTCAATGCAAATGTTTTGATTTGAAGAATTCTCTGTGGAGAAAAATGTAATACAGCTTTAAATTGTGTTTTTTTAAAGCTGTAAATCTTTTAGATTGTGTAAACCTTTTTTCTCTGTTTTTCCTGTTTGCAAAACAGTTATTGAATTCTTTGGATCAAACAACAGGAAATTTGTCTCCGTTATGTCCCGTACGTTTTACTCGTTGGGTTTGGTTCTGCTTCCTGCTCTGGCGTATTACATTCCTTCATGGAGAAACCTGCAGCTGGCCATGACTCTGCCCACATTCATCTTCCTCATCTACCACTGGTATGGAATGATTATATATTAAATAATGAATGATTCTTAATCACAACTCAAATGAAGATCCACTTTAGTCAGTCTTTGTTATGTTTGTTTTGAATTTCTTCATATAATTTACTGGACATGGCAGGCATTAATATTGTCACAGGGTTATTCCAGAGTCTCCCAGATGGTTGCTGTCACAAAGGAAGACAAAAGAGGCTCTGAGTATTGTTAAGAGCATTGCCAAGTGCAATAAAAGATCACTTCCTGAAGACTTTCATGAGGTAATTTGATGATATTCATCTTGTGAATCCATATTTTTAGCCATTTTAGGACATTTGCTTCTTATTTTTGGAGAATATGTATTCAGCTAATTGTTTTAATTGTCACTTCTCAAGAAAAATACAATCTTTTTTTAACATTTAGGAGTTTTTAAGTGTGAAGTTGTTGTTTATAGTGCTGTCAAATGACTAATCACAATTAATTGCATACAAGATAAATGTTTGCATTTACATAATGCATTTACATAATGTATGTGTGTACTTATGTATACATATAAAAAATATACACATGAAATACAAAAAAGAATATATATATATATATATATATATATATATATATATATGTATATATATGTGTGTGTGTATATATATATATATATATATATGTATATATATGTATATGTATGTATGTATGTATGTATGTATGTATGTATGTATGTACAGGTGAAGTCAGAATTATTAGCCCCCCTAAATTATTAGACCGCATGTTTATTTTTTCCCCAATTTCTGTTTAAAGGAGAGCAGATTTTTTCAACACATTTCTTAACATAATAATTTTAATAACTCATTTCTAATAATCGATTTATTTTATCTTGATCATATATATATATATATATATATATATATATATATATATATATATATATATATATATATATATATATATATATATATATATATATATATATATATGTATACATAAATATACACAGTATTCATTGTGCTTTACTTTTTCCACATTTTTTTGTTCCAGCCTTATTCCATAATTTATTAAATTCTTTTATTTCCTCACAATTTTACACACAATACCCCATAATGACAATGTGAAAAAAATATTTTATTACATTTTGCAAATTCATTAAAAATAAAAAAGCTGAAAAGCACATGTGCATCAGTATTCACAGCCTTTGGCGTGAAGCTCTAAATTGAGCTCAGGTACATTCTGTTTCCACTGATCATTCTTGAGATGTTTCAGCAGCTTTATTGGAGTTCACCTGTGGTAAATGCAGTTGAGTGGACATGATTTGAAAAGGCATACACCTGTCTATAGAAGGCCCCAGGGTTGACAGAGGATGTCAAAGCACAAACCAAGCATGAAGACAAAGGAATTGTCTGTAGACCCCAGAGACAGGATTGTCCCGAGGCACAAGGCTGGGGAAGGTTATAAACATTTTTCGGCTGCTCTAAAAGTTCCAATGAGCACAGCGGCCTCCATCATCCGTATCTGGAAGATGTTTGGAACCACCAGTACTCTTTCTAGAGCTGGCCGGCCATCTAAGCTGAGTGATTGGGGGAGAAGGGCCTTAGTCAGGGAGGTGATCAATACCCCGATGGTCACTCTGTCTGAGCTCCAGCGTTCTTCTGTGGAGAGAGGAGAACCTTACAGAAGGTCAACCATCTGTGCAGCAATCCACCAATCAGGCCTGTATGGTAGAGTGGCCAGACGGAAGACACTCCCTTCCTGGAAATTGTCAAAAGACATCTGAAGGACTCTCAGACCATAAGAAACAAAAGTCTCTGATCTGATGAGACTAAAATTGAACTCTTTGGAGTGAACGCCAGGCCTTACATTTGCAGAAAACCAGGCACCGCTCATCACCAGGCTAACACCATCCCTACAGTGAAGCATGGTGGTGGCAGCATCATGATGTGGGGATGTTTTTCAGCAGCAGGAACTGGAAGACTAGTCAGGATAGAGGGAAAGATGAATGCAGCAATGTACAGAGACATCCTGAATGAAAACCTGCTTCAGAGTGCTCTTGACCTCAGACTGGGGCGACGGTTCATCTTCCAGCAGGACAATGACACGAAGCACACTGCCAAAATATCAATGGAGTGGCTTCACAACAACTCAGTGAATGTCCTTAAGTGGCCCAGCCAGAGCCCAGACCTAAATCCTATTGAACTGGAGAGATCTGAAAATAGCTGTACACTGTCGCTTCCCATCCAACCTGATAGAGCTTGAGAGGTACTGCAAAGAGGAATGGACAAAAATTCCCTAAAACAGCTGTGCCAAACTTGTGGCATCATATTCAAAAAGACTTGAGGCTGTTATTGCTGCCAAAGGTGCATCAACAAAGTTTTGAGCAAAGGCTGTGAATACTGATAAACATGCGATTTTTATTTTTTTATTTTTATTTATTTATTTTTTTTAGGTTTTTTATTTTTTATAAATTTGCAACAATTTCAAAAACTCTTTTTTCACATTGTAATTATGGGGTATTGTGTGAAGAATTTTGAGGAAATAAATAAATTTAATCTATTTTGGAATAAGGCTATAACATAAAAAATGTGGAAAAAGTGAAGCGCTATGAATATATATATATATATGTGGAGAGGTAAGCGTGATCGAACACCCAATCAGGGGGGAGAGCATGCTAGGAGCCCGGCGGCTAATCAGCGGGTCAATCAGAAATGATAAATAACACCTGTCTTTCTAGTGATTGGGCCGGAGAGACTCCCTTCTTAAGGAGAACGGGAGGAGCAGTCGGGAGAGGAGAGAGCACACACACACATACACACCCACGCACACAGTTTGCTAGTGCTGTGGAAAAGCAAAATAAAATATATTGCTTACCTGATATCGCCGACCCTGTCTTCTTCTTCCCACACAACAACGAACGATACTACAGTGGTGCCGAAATCCGGGGAAGGAGAAGAGCCTCACTGCCAGAATGACCACTCCGTCAAGAATGCCATTTGCGGAAGCTATCCAGGCCCTCTCGGTCCTCCACCAACAACAACATGAGACGCTGGTGGAACTGAAGAACATCCAGAAACAACATTTCCAAGTCCTCATGGAGGCCCAGCGGGAGGACCGCGAGCAAATCCGGAGTCTGCTGTCCCAGGGGATCCGGCCCGCTCCGACATCTGCCGCCCACCCTCCCATCACCTTACAGAAAATGGTGCCGGAGGATGATCCGGAAGTGTTCCTGGATCTTTTTGAAAAGATGGCTGAGGCGTGTGGCTGGCCGCGGGCTGAGTGGCCGGTACGAGTCATCCCGCTGCTCTCGGGCGAAGCCCAGATCGCCGCACAGCAGCTACCGGCCCAGAATCTCCTGGAATACGCTCATCTGAAGCGAGCTATTCTCCAGCGGGCCGGCCGCAACCCGGAGGAGCAACGTCAGCTCTTCCGATCGCTGGTTTTGGCTGAAGGCGGCCGGCCCTTTGCGTTCGCCCAGCAGCTCCGTGACGCCTGCCGCAGATGGCTGATACAGGATGGCCGAACCACCGCCCAACTGGTGGATGCCGTGGTGCTGGAGCAATTCATCACCCGCCTCCCCTCCCGAACATCGGAGTGGGTCCAGTGCCACCGGCCTGATGATCTGGAGACGGCCATCCGACTGGCGGAGGATCACCTGGTGGCGAGGTCCAGGGTTGGCGAAATAACCTCTCTCTCTTCTCCCCCTCTCTCTCTCTCTCTTCCTGTTCCCAGGCCCAGACTGCGGAGACCGCCCACACCTGCACCCAGACGGCGGTGCGCAATGGCGGATCTGCCAAACGTCCCAAGAGGGGCGGGGCCTCATTCGGGCAGAGGGGTGGAGCAACGACCCCTGGCGGTTGCCCAGACACTGCCAGGATTCTCTCCGGTTCAATCGGTTGCTCCTGCTGGCCCCGGGGGTATAGTGGGAAGGTCTGGGCCGATGCATTTGCGTCGCGGGCACGAGGATAGCGCACCAAAAATCTGCTCCGTGAAGGAGGCGAGTGCGCTGATTCGCGTCCCCGCCACGCCAATCGTCGCCCCCGGTCGCAACGGGCTATACCGGGTACCAGTGAGTATAAAAGGGGGTACATATCAAGCTTTGGTGGATTCGGGGTGTAACCAGACTTCCATCCACCAAAGCCTGCTTCAAGACCCGGCATTGGATATGAGCCGCACGGTAAGGGTAAGGTGTGTGCACGGGGATGTAATTCACTACCCGCTGACGGCAATAGACATTCAATTTCGGGGGAAAAAACATAGAGTAGAGGTAGCAGTTAATTCGCACCTCAAACACCCGCTAATTCTGGGAACTAATTGGCCTGGATTTAATAGATTATTGGGAGTCTTATGTGCGGGTGCTTCTTGGAAGAAGAAATCGCCGGATAGGGGACGTGTCGCTCAGCTGGGGGAATCCCAGGCGGTGACGTCACGCGCTGACTCAGGGGAAGGGCTGGGAATTTCCCGGTGTAAAGACTTTCCCCTGGAGCAGTCGCGTGATGACACGCTAAAACATGCACTCGAAAGAGTGCAGGTTATTGATGGGAAAATCCTCCAGCCTGATAGACCCCTCTCCTATCCGTATTTTGCGGTTATTAATGATAGGGTGTATCGAGTGACCCAAGACGCTCAGACAAAAGAAGATACAACCCAGTTATTAGTACCAAAGAGCCGCCGGGAAATGCTTTTTCAGGCGGCTCATTCTAATCCTATGGCCGGACATTTAGGTCAGGCGGCCACACTAAATCGCCTCATGACCCGATTCTTTTGGCCGGGCATTCACGGTGACGTCAGCAGATGGTGCGCTGCGTGCAGTGAATGTCAGCTGGTAAATCCGCCGGCCACCCCAAAAGCGCCGTTGCGCCCTTTACCAATTATGGAGATCCCCTTCGAGAGAATTGGTATGGATCTCATCGGGCCATTAGAGCGATCCGCACGCGGGCATCGGTTTGCATTAGTTCTGGTGGATTATGCAACCCGCTACCCGGAAGCAGTCGCGCTCCGTAATATCTCAGCAAAGAGCGTTGCGGAGGCGCTGTTTCGCCTCATCTCCCGTGTGGGAATCCCCAAGGAGATTCTCACTGATCAAGGCACCGCGTTCATGTCACGCACGATGCGCGAGCTTTACGGATTATTGGGCATTAAATCTATTCGCACCAGCGTCTATCACCCACAAACAGACGGGCTGGTGGAAAGATTTAATCGCACGCTTAAATCAATGATCCGTAAATTCGTTCACGAGGACGCGAAAAATTGGGATAAGTGGTTGGAGCCCTTATTATTCGCTGTGCGGGAGGTTCCCCAAGCCTCCACGGGGTTTTCCCCCTTCGAGCTTCTCTACGGCAGACAGCCCAGAGGGGTTTTGGATGTTGTTAGAGAGGCTTGGGAGGACGAGCCTTCTAAAAGTAAAAATGAAATTCAATATATCCTGGACCTTAGAGCAAAACTCCACACACTGGGGCGGCTCTCTACAGAGAATTTGCTTAAGGCTCAGGATGACCAACGCCGGCGATATGATAAGGGCACTAAACTCCGTAAATTTTCACAGGGAGATAAAGTACTTGTACTGCTACCCACTTCCAGCTCTAAATTACTCGCCAAGTGGCAAGGGCCGTTTGTGGTCACACGACGAGTCAGTGATCTCGATTACGAGGTGGTTCGTTCGGACAGGGCTGACTCGCGCCAGATTTATCATATTAATCTGCTTAAGCAGTGGAGGGAGCCGGAGGACGTGGCGCTGGCTACGCTTGTTACTAACGAGGATGACCTGGGGCCGGAGAGCTCCGGCCGTGAACGGCCGAGCGCTCTGGTCACCGGGGGCGATCATCTCTCAGCGAGCCAGCTCCTCGACATCCGGCACCTCCAACGTGAATACTCTGACGTGTTTTCGTCCCTGCCCGGTCGTACTAACCTGATTCAGCACCATATCGAGACCGAACCGGGCGTGGTCGTTAGGACCCGGCCGTATCGCCTACCTGAACACAAGAAAAAAGTGATTCAGGAAGAATTGAGTAATATGTTGAAAATGGGAGTAGTGGAAGAATCCCACAGCGACTGGGCCAGCCCGATTGTCTTGGTGCCTAAGACGGACGGCTCGGTCCGGTTCTGTGTGGATTATCGCAAGGTGAATGCTGTGTCAAAATTTGACGCTTATCCAATGCCGCGTATTGACGAGTTGCTCGACCGGTTAGGTGCTGCTCGATATTACTCGACATTGGATTTAACGAAGGGCTATTGGCAGATCCCCTTATCTCCAATATCCCGCGAAAAAACAGCCTTCACTACGCCGTTTGGATTGCACCAATTTGTGACGCTTCCGTGCGGGCTGTTCGGGGCACCGGCGACGTTTCAGCGCCTGATGGACAAAATACTCGGCCCTCACACAGCATATGCCGCTGCTTATCTAGATGATATCATCATTTACAGTAATGACTGGCAGCGGCATATGCAACATTTGAGGGCGGTATTGTCGGCGCTGAGACGGGCCGGGCTCACGGCCAACCCACGGAAGTGCGCAATTGGGCGAGTGGAGGTAAGGTATCTGGGCTTCCACTTAGGTCACGGGCAGGTGCAGCCCCAAATTGATAAAACTGCAGCTATTGCAACCTGTCCGAGACCTAAGACCAAAAAGGAGGTGAGACAGTTTTTGGGGCTGGCAGGATATTATAGGCGTTTTGTCCCTAATTATTCGGCCCTTGTCAGCTCATTGACTGATCTCACTAAAAAGGAGGGACCGGATACCGTCCAATGGTCGGAGCAGTGCCAACAGGCCTTCTCAAAGGTAAAATCTATACTTTGTGGGGGGCCGCTATTGCACGCTCCTGACTTTGCTCTCCCCTTTGTTTTACAGACGGACGCATCCGATCGGGGACTGGGGGCGGTTCTCTCGCAGGAGGTGGCGGGAGTGGAACGGCCGGTGCTGTACATTAGCCGCAAACTCAGCAAGAGTGAGGCTAAGTACAGCACCATAGAAAAGGAGTGCCTGGCGATCAGGTGGGCCGTTCTCACTCTCCGCTATTACCTCCTGGGTAGGGAATTCGTCCTCTGTTCAGATCACGCTCCTCTCCAGTGGCTTCACCGCATGAAGGATACCAATGCGCGGATCACCCGTTGGTATCTAGCTTTACAACCTTTTAAGTTCAAGGTGATCCACAGGCCGGGCGTACAAATGGCTGTAGCCGACTTCCTCTCGAGGGCGGGGGGGGGAGGGCTGCAGGCCGGACGGCTCCCCGGCCTGAGGCGGGCGGTGGGGGTATGTGGAGAGGTAAGCGTGATCGAACACCCAATCAGGGGGGAGAGCATGCTAGGAGCCCGGCGGCTAATCAGCGGGTCAATCAGAAATGATAAATAACACCTGTCTTTCTAGTGATTGGGCCGGAGAGACTCCCTTCTTAAGGAGAACGGGAGGAGCAGTCGGGAGAGGAGAGAGCACACACACACATACACACCCACGCACACAGTTTGCTAGTGCTGTGGAAAAGCAAAATAAAATATATTGCTTACCTGATATCGCCGACCCTGTCTTCTTCTTCCCACACAACAACGAACGATACTACAATATATATATATATATATATATATATATATATATATATATATATATATATATATATATATATAAAATTATAAAAAGATGAAGCAGTGCACAAAATATGTTGGAACCAAAATATGCTCTCAACATTTACAAACCTAATGGTAAAAACAAAAGATTACTTATCATAATTATATTATGAACTAATTTTGCATTTAGAAAAATAATTTGGCACTTATAATACCTCAGGAAAAGGTGTCTGTGCTCATCTTGTAAATACAGTATTACAACATGATTTCAGCTTTGATTGATCAGGAACAAGTCTCTGACAGATGACAGCTTTAGGTCTGTTCACCTCAGGGATTGAAGCAAAAAACAATTTTTTATCGCAGTATGTTATAAAGAGTCTTTAATGCACCGAGAATGTAAACATTTCTGTTTTTCAGATGGATCTTCTGATAGAAAAGCAAGAGGAAATTATGCGCCCTTCATATAAAGATTTATTTAAGACTCCTAAAATGAGAAAGCACACATTTATCTTGATATATGCATGGTGAGCTTATTTCTTTTGTCATTAAATATGCATTTATACAAAAATGTAAATATGTAAACCTTTATTTAACCAAATGCACTGTGATGTGTACGTTTTTTGTTGTCCTCTTCCTGCAGGTTTACCGGCGCTGTGGTTTTCCAGGGTTTGGTGTTGCGTTTAGGCATCACTGGAGATAATGTTTTCCTGGATTTTCTCATCTCAGCTGTGGTTGAGCTTCCAACGGGACTCATATTTTATTTCTTAGTTGATCGAATTGGCAGAAGGCCTCTCATGGCGACAGTGAATTTTATTGGAGGTGCTGCTTGTTTGGCTGTTCCATTTATTTCACCAAGTAAGTTACACGTACAGAAATGATTAAGTTTCTTTCACATCTGTAGTTTGCTTCATTTGGTCCGAACTAAGGGCAACAAATGATACATTGTTGCATTTTCTGCCGTCTTTGGGTCGTTTTCACATAACTCTGCTGGCTTTGGTCCGAACCAGATGAAAAGAACTAAAATGCAGTCATCTGACAAAATCCACATCACTCATTGGCCAGATGTTGTTGAACATAGTTCCTTAACTGCTTATCGATTGGACAGAATTCACGTGCAGGAAAATACCAATGGAACTCCTGCAAGTAAACAAACCGGCAGACACAGAATGTCTCTTTTTACTATGGAGAGACGACTGCGCTGACTGATTTTATCCCTGCTCATAGTTTGCTATATAGTTTGCATACATCACTTTAGACAAGCTAAACATTTTGAGAATAAAGCGCGGCTGAAAACAATGTTTTAATGCATCGCACGTCACTTAAGGAGGAGACGTGAATTAATTCAGCTAAACTGCGACATGGTCATCTTGCGGAAATCGATATCCATCAGGTAATGTTTTCCCTCTCTCTCTCTCTCTCTCTCTCTGTTGGTAAAGCGCTGTCAACAAATAATTTTCCTCCATATCCCATACTGCACAACGCATCGGCCTATGGCAGCTGGATTAGTCCAAAAGGCACAGTACTTTTTACGGTTGGGTCTGTTTTAGTTCGGATCATATTCTCACCGTAAACGAACCGCTCCAGGGTTTGTTTGAAGCCGTACTGAGACCACCTCTTCAAGCAGGTCTCGGTACTCTTTTTTTGGTCCGCTTTTGGTGCGCACTCGAGTGCGATTGCTGCATTCACACCTGCCCAAACGAACCGCACCAAAAAGGAAAACGAACTCTAGTGTAGTGATGGGTCGTTTATTTTGAACAAATCTTAAATATGACTCGGGAACTACGAGTCCTCTCAGGGAGTGATTCGTTCATCCGCATGTGCGCACATTTGTGCAGGTAGTATCGTTAATTTTAAGTCTTCATGACATTGGCAGAAGCCAATCATATGTGTTTAGAGCCGGAGATAGAATTGATCCGCTCGCCTCTCGAGTCCTCTATTGGGTCTGAGTCACTCGTTCATCACGAGCCAATCATATGCGTTTAGAGCCAGAAAAAGAATTGAACAGTTCATCTCTCGAGTCCTCGGTTTTGAGTCATTTTGTCACGAGATGAACGAACGATCATGGCTCCTATCGACTCAGACTGTGTACATTGGTTAAGATTATATGTGACTGTCAGTGTAACGTGAATGAACCACTGACATTTGAAGACATGAAGAGGCGAGCTGAGCAAAGAGACAACAATACCTTCATAGACAAATGAGCAGGTAAACAATGAATTATTGTTTTCTCCTTATAGTTTTCTATTTATGACTTATTTGTCGTGCAATCAACCTTTCAGGATAGGTGTAGATGTGTTTGGAAGCAATTCGTAACATTTTAATGATATTTTGGCAAATTGAAGCAAATGAACAAAATGACTCGAAAAAAGATTTGTTCATTTCGATGAACGAGACTCAAAGATCCGAGTCAGTAAAATGATCCGAACTTCCCATCACTACTCTAGTGCGATTCAACCGAACTATATAAGGCAGGTGTGCAATTCCTTGTTCAACCACTGGGTGTACAACTTACATTCTGCTCCTTTAATAATTGTTAAATAAATAATAATTAATAAAGGATAATATGAGCCCTTAACGTGAGTACAAATGTGTCGGTATCAATAGTTGTGGTTCTGTTTTTTTTTTTTTTTTTCAAAGAATTAGACAGGGTATTAAATCTTAATTGTTATCTTTATTGTTTGTGGTGTGAATGTAACTGTATGGCTGGAGTTCAGTGTTTATCTTTCTATCTTTCTAGATATTTCATGGCTCAGAAGGACCATTGCGATAGTAGGAAGACTAGCTGTTGCCATTGGGAATGAGACTGTGAACTTTGCCAACACTGAACTGTATCCAACACCACTCAGGTTTGGATTATTTATCAGACTTTTATCAGTGGATATGAAACAATGTGTTTACTGCGCTGCCAAATATTTGAATGAAAACTTTTGGCAAGCTGGAAATCATCAGCCGAAAAGCTGTATTGGCTAATGCCAGTATGCAAGGAAGGAGACCAGAGGCAGTTTTGATTTAATGGAGGTCAATGAAGAAAAGGCGTTACTACATGAAATACACAGCTTTTGTGAGGAAATAACTAGTCATTTATTAAATTGAAAGCCTGTTTGGTTATCTTCAACCTGTTTTAGACTAAACAACACATCTCTGATTATCACTGGTTATGCATACTGTTATTTAACAAACTTGTGCAATCTTTTAAACAACATCTAGTTTCTCTTTCTCTCTACATACACCACAATACTTGACAAAAGTCTTGTGGTCTATCCAAGTTTTAGGAACAGCAAATAACAACTTCTAGTTGATCATTTGGTATCAGAAGTGGCTTATATGACAGCCTCTAAATTACACTTTTTTCACTGAAATAAAATAAGATCATGTTTTTATTTTTAATGATTTAATTAGGACAGTAAGCTCTGACTTTGCTCAGACAAAAGTCTTGTCACTTAACAGAAATAATGTCCAGTATAGAGTATAAAGTCATGCTGCAGTGGAAACAGAATGAGTAATGTGTCTGACTCCATCATGAGCTTGGAGGACTGCATCCATACATCTCTGCAATGACCCAAATAATGTATTAATAAAGCCATCTGGAATGACAAAGAAAGCGTTCTTGCAGGACTCCCAGAGTTCATCAAGATTCTTTGGATTCATCTTCAATGCCTCCTCCTTCATCTTACCCCAGACATGCTCAATAATGTTCATGTCTGGTGTCTGGGCTGGCTGAACACTGCTGACACTGTGGTGAAAACCTTGAAAGCATGTCATGGCTAACCTTGAGAAAATACCTTAAAACTCTGTTACATTTAACCCTGCGTTACTTTGCGCCCCGCGCTCCCCTATCTACTAATAATAGGTTTATTTTGGCAAAAATCATAGTTAATGGTTTATCAACAGTATAATACCTCAAAATAAAGTGTGGGATACATTTTTTTTATATTAATTAAACTCTTTTTTTGTTGTTGTCTACTGCAGAAACTTGGGCGTATCTGTGTGCTCTTCAGCCAGTGATATCGGAGCAGTCGTTGCTCCGTTTATTCTGTACAGATTAGCTAGTATTTGGCAAGAACTTCCCCTCTTGGTCTATGGTGAGAGCTCAGTCTTTCAATTGCAGATATAAAAACATAAATCATTATCTTGTGTTTATGAGGTTTCTCTCGTTTATTGTTTTCAGGAGTCATGTCTGTTCTGTACAGTGGACTAGTGATGCTTCTGCCAGAGATGAAAGGTGTTGATCTCCCAGAAACTGTGGATGATGTGGAAAACTTGAGAAGGTTGCTTTGGGTTTCTGTTATTAATTCACTAATAATCTGCCATAGCTATTTGTTTAGCTTGTTTATAATGTTATTTGTTCTTCAGCAGGCATAAACGCAAGGAAAAAGATGGTGCTCAGTTTCCTGAAATAAACATTGTCCCAATGAAAGCTGTCGAGAAAACATCCCAAAAGTGATTCAATCACAAGTAAAACTTTTAACCACAGGATTTGTGGTTGATTACATTTGCAGTACTGTAATAATATCATAATATATGCAGAATGCATACAGAAAAAGTTCTTTCAGATGCTTTTAGATTTATAAAAATGACTGATTCTTTTGTTTCTAATGTTTTAGTTGCTGTTTATTATATCTATATATTCACTTTCCCCCCATTGTTCTGGTTGTGTTTTTGAAGCTGTGTTTACATTCTTGCTCATAGTTCACATCCAGCCATCCATGAAACTCACTCTTAATGAAGAGGCACACAATAGATTATGGTAATTAGCATCTGACGATGACCTATAAATACTCTTTCATTATGTTGTTCGTTTCTGAACAAAAGGTCAACCCAATGCTTTCCTTTTCACGTTAAGCAACGCCCAATCTACTTTTTCTAGTTCAGCAGGTTTTAAAAAAAAATACAATTTACTGAATCAGTTTACAATCAAATTGGCCCCAAAAATAATACATTTAAAGCTTTTGTGTGATTTTAGTGTGTCAGATGCTCTGTTTCCATTCAAAGATGCAAATTAAATTTATGCGCAAACTGTAATATCGCATAAAAGACGTGCGAATAAAGCAACATTTCCATCCAATGAGTCAAAAAGAACAAAATCGTCACTTCCTGATAGACTGGCGCTAAATATCAACAGTAAAAACAAAATTTGCTGCAATTGCTGCGTCAATCTTTTCTTCATTTAATAGATGACTTGCGCCTCTGTAGGCAGTATACAGACACGCAATAAGCGTGTGGTGGCATTTGAAGGCTTGAGACTCGAAGCACAGATGCTTTTAATTCTGGAGGCAATACTGAAATGTTTAAGGTGTTTTAGAAAGACCAAAACAACATTTCAGAAGTTTTACTGTGTGCTCAGCCTGCTGGTTTGTTCATTCACACCGTAGACTGTTAAAGGTGTGGACGTAGTGTCTGTGACGTCACCCGTATGATTCTGAATAACGCAAATGAAGCTACAAGTAGGCATGGCTAACCGTGGCCATTTTGTTTGCCCGTCATCCCACCGACCGGGGGATACCAAACAAGGGCAAAGAGGCAAATTGTGAGCGGCCTGCTAGCATTTTGCTTGAGAAAGGCTTAATACTTGATTACCTGCGACTCATTTGTGTTCTGACCACATGTGCTGGGTTGTACACTATATCAATAAAGTGTTTAGACTTTTTAAAACACTGTTGTAATCATTTAACCACTAAACGTTGTTCTTATGACGTTTTTCTACAGGAGGAAAACACGAATTACTTCCAAACACTTAAAATATAGTCTGTGTTAGCAAATGCAAGGCTATTTATAAAATTCAGGTATAACACTGTAAGACAACGTTTCAGACAACTGTTCTAGAGTCTACAGCTAATCAATCTGTCAGATTCTGAATTACATTACAGCTCTAAAGAAAATGATAAATGGTCTTGAATAAGCCAAATACATTTATAGATATGGTATATAAGTATATTAATTCACTCACCTTTGAAATGGAGGCCACTTGAATGGTTTGTGAGCATAATAAAGTGCACACAACATGCCATATCATCTGATAACTGTAGGAAATAATTCCAAAAGGTAACTGACTATGTAAAGCTACATAAAAAAATAAATAAATAAAAATTCTGATTATATGCCGAGTTCAGCAGCTAATCAGCTGGAATCAGCTGAGGTGAAGTGACGGCGACCAGCGAGACCTAGCTGTCACTCAAGTGGCCACGCCCTTAATTATGCAGACTTAATAAAACTTAATATAAATGAAACTGATTAGTTATAAAAAAATTCACCCCCTCACAGTTGTCATAAAGGGTAATATTAGCTCTATAAATCAAAATCATACTTTGTACCAGGCTGTAAACACTTTTTTTCTGCTGTAAAGTTTGCCATTTTAACACTAGGCTCAATAGAACTGTGCCGTGTTATAATTTCGATGAATTGCAGTTTCAGTTACTTCTGTATTCGCTTTATGAGGGAAAGCGGGAGGTTGCTGCTTGATTCATACACATTTTCATTATCACATGATCTCTTATATAACATGCGCATACTGGAATTTGTTCAGTAAAATAGTTTCCATCGTAGTTTATGTGCATCTTTTCTTATCGAATAAAAAGTTTATTCTACTCAGTGCCCATTTTCAAAACTGATGTGCATATTGGCGCTTCCATCAACCATATCTAAAATGTGCATAAAAATAGGTAGATGGAAATAAAGCTTTTTTAATAGTATTTTCATGATTACCTGTTTCAAGTACCACAGTGAATTTTCCAAAGGTTACTGTAGTATTAAGCTGCGCTCACACTAGAGTTTGATGCGATATTCTGTCGTGCGGGGCTGCGATAAGGAGCGGGAATAAACAAGAACAAGAAGCGAGCGATTTCTCCATGTTTTAAATTTCTGTCCAGAGAGGTCATGTTTTGATCCTCGGTTGGTCTCACACAGTCAAGTGATGCGATTTCGCAGGTCAAAGTTCACCAAGCTTGAACTTTGCACCCCAGCAACAAGCGAAACTTAACGCATGACTCCATAACGCATTTCCGGTCTGACGCATTCACTTGCGTATGAAGTCTATGGGAGGAAAAGCCCAGTGTGACCGCAGCTTGATCCTTTGAAATATTCATTTTTATCATTAAAACTGTGATAACTCATTTCCATTTTGAAAGCTCACAGTAAAGTCTGTAAGATTGCAGTTAGCTAACCATGAAAAGCTAAAACATACATGGAAAACATGAAACTAAATAAAATAAAAGAATGCAAAAGATTAATTTAAATTTCTTTATTGCAGACTAGGGGCAAAATAAACTAAACAATTAATAAAAAAAAAACACACACAAATCTGATATTTTTAACTTCAATGATAGTAAATTATTTAATGGAAAACATGAAATGCAAACTAAATTAATTAAAAAAAGTTTTACCTTTTATATTTCAGAAATATACTTTTAATATCTTCATTAATTACCCCAGATATGTTTATTTAGACAGTTTATAAACGTATATTTAAATACATTGTAAAATATACCCGTAAATTAGCAGTTTTCCCTATTTTTTTGACTCATGTTTTTATTTTCCCCATTTATTTCTGCTTTTGAATCATATTATGTGATCTTGATCTTTCTTCTAACAACTTTTAACCCTGAAAAGTAAAAAAAGTGACTTTCAGAAATATTTGCAATAGTTCAAAGCAGTGTTTCTCAACTGGTGGGTCGCGACCCAAAAGTGGGTCGTGGGAACATTTTGAGTAGGTCGTGGAGTGTGTGGTCCAAAAAAACGACAAAAGTTAAATTTTTTTACTTATTTTGACTTTTATTTTGAAATGCGTGCACGACAACTCTACCGTGTGACACGTAAAATTTCATTTAATTATAGTAAAAAATGGAGACACAGCTCGCTGCAGAGCCTTTTGAGCAGAGCTGAGCTCCAGCGAGGGGGAGCATGAGCTCTCGCTCCTCCTCCTATAAGCTGTTTTAATGCGTACACCAACCCCACCCCTAACCCTACCCCCAGTGATATCACTCATAGAAGAAGTGCAAGAAAGGAGGAGCGAGAGCTCAAGCTCCCCCTTGCTGGAGCTCAGCTCTGCCCAAATGGCTCTGCAGTGAGCACCACTTGAAAAAATGTCGAAGCGCAAGTATGACCCTGAATATGTAAAGTATGGATTTACATATACTGACAACAAAAAAGACTTAAAGCCTCGGTGTGTCATAAGTAGCGAGATGCTCTCACAAGAGAGCACGAAACCTTCTAAATTAAAACGACATTTAGAAACCAGACAACATGTTTTACTAACAGTTCAGTTTAGTTCAAGGTAACTGAACCTTTCCTTGCCCTAACCAGTTTACAGTATTTGTCGTTTATACTTTGTAATATTTCTATAAATTGATACATTTTGTTAAATGATAACAATAAAATATAGTTTGTTTGTAAGTCTTGGTGATTTTCTTATGATTTATCTGTCACTACTTGTGTATGCTAAAAAAATAATACAAATTAATTTTAATTCCTACATTTGTATTATAGTTCCTAAAAATTTGGCTCATGGCTTGATGATGTAAAAATGTGGGTCCCATGGCCAAACCAGTTTCGTCTGGGTTGGTGTTGTATGTAATGCCACAAACACCATGTAGTAAACTGCCTGCAGATTTTCTGTTATTTTACAGACAGTTATTTTATTTCTCTCTATATATCATTTCTTATACATTATATTATTTTAAACGACAAAAATGTCATAAAAGTCACTTTGTTAGACTAGAGTTGAATTGTCAACATCAAAAGTCGACAGAGCAGAGATCAACATCCAATGCAATTCACAACTGTAAATAAACAGAAAACACAGTCATAATACAGAAACTAATTAACAGATATTTTGCACAGTGGATATTGGGTCCCCTTCATATAAAGTGTGTGTGGTGCACATTATAGTGGATACAGAGCTAAAGCTTGACTTCAGTAAAATCGCAATTAGATGTTATCGTCAAATGACACAATGCTTTTTAGTTGTCATAAACCAGCTTTATGTTATTTTGTGTGCTTATTTTGGTCACTATATAATAGTGAAGTGAAATTCTCTGTATATTAGGAGGACGTGATGGGAAATGAGGTTAGTCTTTACACTGTGTAAATGGGACAAACAAGCCAGAACAATCAACCATCAGTTGCAGTGTTAAACGGGCTGGAAGAAAAATCAGGGACAGAAGAGTTAGTGAGAGTAAAGTGCAGTCTTCATCAATCAGCTGGCTGCTTGTTATATTAAATATAAACTAGTTGATCGCAAACTAAGATATGAAGGAGATGCAAAGATCTGATTTGGGTCTCGAGGAGCACAGGAATCTTCAGGAAAACATCCGACGCTGGAATAAAAACCATCTGAGTCTGTTCCAGATCACTGAACCGGATGAGGTGAGTGTTGAAGATTGCACTCTCATATGTTTTGTGATGTTAGAGCTACACTTTCAAACTGTTTCTGTTGACACTTTCACAATATTTTGTATTATGATTCTGTATAATAATCTGTATATTATTATGTTCTGTATTATTTAATTTCTTGACTTGATCTTGATGTTTGGGTTATTAATGAATAACAGATGCATATTATTGCAAATATGTTACAGATATATTATTACGAATATGTATCTGAAATAGAGAAGGTCAAGCATGGGATTCGTAGTTATTAATATTTTTTATTTAGTTTTTGTTTTAGTTCTTTAAGTTTGATTTTCTTGATATATTTGGGTTTATTAATGAATAACATGCATATTATTATTAATATGTTACAAATATATTATTATTATTATTACCAATATGGGTCCCACTTTATATTAAGTGGCCTTAACTAATATGTACTTACATAGGAACTAATAGTTTATCACAATGTACTAATTGTGTAAATACATGTATTTACTGTGTACTTATGCTTGATTAAATACATGTATGTACTTACATCTGTAACTACCTTTTGTAATTACAGTTGTAAATACACTGTTGATCATCCCTTACACCTAAACCTACCCGTACCACCAAACCTGTCCATAACCCAACCTCTATACCAACCCAAAAGCACCACAAGTGTTCTCAAATGCATTATAAACACAGTAAGTACATTGTATTTATTTTTTTAAAGTAAGTACATAGTAGTTAGGGACACTTAATATAAAGTGGGACCCAGATATGTATCTGAAATACAAAAGGATTTGTAGTTATTGATTTATTTAGTTTTTGTTTGTTTTTTGACTTGATTATTATTATGAATAATAACTGCATAAAATTACAAATATGTATCTGAAATATAAAGAGGGTCAAACAGGATTTGTAGTTATTGTTTTGTTTAGTTTTGGTTAGTTTTCTGACTTAATTTTCTTGATGTTTTGGTTATTAATGAATGAAACAGATACATATTATTACATAGCAGGTGCATATTATTGCAATATGTTACAAATATGTTATCACAAATATGTATCTGTTTTTTTAAGCTAGATCTTCTTGATATTTGGGTTATTAATAATATTATTATTATAATTACAAATATGTATCTGAAATAGAGAAAGTAAAACATGAGATTTATAGCTATTTTTTGTTTAGTTTTTGTTTTTTGACTTGATCCTCTTGATGTTCGGTTCATTAATAAATAACAGATATACATTATTACATATCATATACAGTTGAAGTCAGAATTATTAGCCCCCTTTGAATTTTCTTGTCTTTTAAATATTTCCCAAATGATGTTTAACAGAGCAAGGAAATTTTCACAGTATGTCTGATAATATTTTTTCTTCTGGAGAAAGTCGTATTGTACATATTAATACAAATATGTATCAAAATGGGCGACACAGTGGCTCAGCGATTAGCACTGTGGCCTCACAGCAAGAAGGTCACTGATTCGAGCCTCGGCTGGGTTAGTTGGTGTTTCTGTGTGGAGTTTGCATGTTCTCCTCATGTTGGCGTGGGTTTCTCTCCATGTGCTCCGGTTTCCCCCACAGTCCAAACACATGCTGTATTGGTGAATTGGGCGACCCCACTTTGGCGACTTTGGCGACCCCTGTTGAATAATGAATGAAAGAGCAGCCATTTGGTCAACACTTCATTGTTTTAATAAATAAAATGAAATAAAATCGTCTAAAATTTTTAGGATTTAATTTTGTTAAACACAGTAAGGGTATTTCTGCACAGACACTATAATCTGCTGTTTTACTCCATAGAACTCCATATAAAAGCCAGAAAAGCCTTTTATGGCACAGGCCTTTCTAAAGGGTTAATGCTGCCAACTGATGATCAACAGTAAAAATGACACAATGTACCTCTTCCCAACAGGGAAAACCACCAACAATCAAGAATGTATGATTATACGCTGTCATGGCTTAATAATGGAGGTCAATGGGGCAAAAACAGCCCCCAACATAATGAAAGGGTATTCAATTTAAACAAAACATAAGGGTTAAACAATCTACTTTTTTTATTATTCTTTAGGACTCTGTAGTTCATGGAGTTGTTCGTTTCTACCTCCAAGACGATGTTTCAGGAAACTGTGCCACCAAATGCATTTGCATCTCAAGCACTTCTACCACACAAGAGATCATTGAAACCCTGCTGGAGAAGGTTCAGCGTGATGGAAACCTGCAACTTTTCCCATATTCGCTCTACGAGGTCCTAGAAAATCAAGGTGAGAACAGTGTATAATTTAACATACAGTTGAAGTCAGAATTATTAGTCCCTTTGTGTATTTTCTTCCCCAATTTCTGTTTAACTGAAAGATTTTGTTCAACACATTTGTAATCATAACAGTTTTAATGGGCCCTATCATACACCCGGCGCAATGTGGAGCAAGGCGCTACGCAATACTTGTTTGCTAGTTTCAGCTTGGCGCAAGAGTCGTTTTGAGGCAAATGCATTAGCGCTCATTTGTGCGCCCATAGGCGTTCTGGTCTAAAAAGGAAGGTGTTCTGGGGCGGACTGCTGGCGCGTTGCTATTTTGAGAAACTATAATAGATTTTTCATTAGACCAAAACAAACCCGGTCTAAACTCCAGCGCAGAGTTGCGCCTCGCTTACACACTGCTTAATACACACAAGAGAGCAATAGGCAAATATCTTTACATATGAAAAAATTTAAATATTAAGGATATATATATGATATAATAAGAATATATATAGGATATAAATATAAAGGATTAAAATATTACAAAACATGTTATTTTCTAGCCTACATAAATATGAAAAACCACTGCTTTTATGTCTTCTTCATCTCTGGAGGCTTTTGCAGATCATTCATAACAATTTGCTTTTGTATAATGTTATTATTATTAGCAGTATTATTTATTATATCCATATTTATATTTGTTTCATTAAAAACAAGCTTACATTTGCCCACCTGTCAGGTTTTAGACCATATGGGGCACAGCATGTGTTTTAGAATATAACTCAGGTTTTTAAGCACACTTCGTTATTATTGTTCATTTATTCGTTTGCTGGAAATTAGAACTGAATTTAGAAATAGTTTTGAAACTAATTCGCTTAACAAACGCAATTAATTATTTATAGACTAATTGATGTCTGTGCGTAAAGTTTCCCTACCCAAGAGCGAAAGTGAAAGTAGATAATTTATCTCTTATTCTCAAACAGTAGATGCTCTGTTTAACAGTTTTCTGTTAAAAAACTGTTAACTGTTTGCTAGTGAAATACTCAGTTTTACTCAGACTTACTTTGCATCCTGTAAATAGCGAATGCGCTTATGGCGTGACACAGCTGGCTCTTAAAGGGAATGGGAGATGAGACTCTAATTGGTTTATTCTCAAAACACACCTGTAACTCATTAAGAAAATAAACTCAACCCTTGTAGACCATGCACCATGGCGCAAAGCAGATTTTCCCGTCCTTAAATTAGCAAAACTTTGTTCTGACACGCCCTGAAAGCATTTGCGCCCTGCGTTTTGCGCTCTGCGCATGGACCGTCAAAATAGAGCCCAATAACTCATTTATATTAACTGATTTCTTTTATCTTTGCCATGATGACAGTAAATAATATATATTTTTCATGATACCAGTATTCAGCTTAAAGTGACATTTAAAGGGTTAATTAAAGTAATTAGGCAGGTTAGGGTAATTAGGGAAGTCATTGTATAACAGTGGTTTGTTCTGTAGACAATCGAAAGCAAATATAGCTAAAGGGGGTTAATAATATTGACCTTAAAATAGTGTTTAAAAAATTAAAAACTGCTTTTATTCTAGCCGAAATAAAACAAGACTTTTTTCAGAAGAAAAAATATTATAGGAAATACTGTGAAAAATTTCTTGTTTTGTTAAACATCATTTGGGAAATATTTTGAAAGGAGAACAACTTCAGCTGTATTAGTGCTCTCAGTCTTTGTTTTCAGCCACTGAATGTTCAGTGTTTTTGACATTTAGAGGAAAGACGATTACACCTTTCGGAAAAGCCTTTAATGCTTCAACTCAGCTGGAATAAAGACGCCGATGGACGATTTGTCTTGAGGAATGCGAGTTGTGCAACTTTACAGGTGTGTGAAGTCACTGACATTTTACTATAATCCACAAATACACTGTAGAAAATGCAGGGTTTCACCTGATTCCTTCATATTGTCCCAACACACCTATTAAGTTGTTTTTGCAAATGTAAGTGGATTGAACATAAAACTATTTACTTGTCTTAAAAAAAAAAACTCAAGAATTGTTCTTTCAGTCATTGATTCTTTCAGTTTTCTTCGGCTTAGTCCCTTATTTATCAGAGGACATCACAGTGGAATGAACCACCAACTATTCCAGCATATGTTATACACATGCCCTTCCAGCTGTAACCCAGTACTTGGAAACACTCTCACATTCACACACACTCATACACTACGGCCAATTTAGTTTCGTCCTGTTTACCTGTAGCGCATGTGTCTGGACTGTGGGGGAAACCAGAGCACCCGGAGGAAACCCACGTGTTACGCACTGTGTGACTCGAAGGATGAAAAGGGCTAAACATAATTATAACACAACATTTAAAAAATTTCCCTGAGACATTAGCTGCTATTGATCGACACAAAAAGTGGTTCGCTTTATTTACTCTTTATTCACACACCCCTCACTAAACTGCACTCAATGGAAAACACAGACAAAGGGTAGCGCCCACTTCCGACCTAAAGGATTAACAGAGAATCAAATATGTGTGTGTAAAATGTTTTTAACGTGACGTACTTCACTTTCCCTTCCATTTTAGTAGTTAAGCAGATTAAGCATGGGCATTCAGAATAGATGTACAATTAAAAAAAAAAACAAAAAAAAAAAACAACTTAAAGCGAACCAGAGAACAGGACAGGCACACAAATGTCTCACAGAAAGACAGAGCAGTGACAAGAGACAAGGATCACCCCCCTCCAGTCTGGTTCGAGTCATCACTGGAGTGCTTTAATGACCCCTGTCCTCTTCTGATTGGTCCACTTGTGAAAACTCTGCGAGCCAATCGGAACACCTAGATTTTAGAAGAACAGGGGGAGGAGGGAACAACTGAGCCACACCCCCAGGCATGTAACACCACGCCAACACGGCCACAGCCATTTCACCCTGCAACCCAAGAACGGTTACTCACTGAAGCTATGCAGGGCTGAGCCTGGTCAGTACCTGGATGGAAGACCACATGGGAAAACTAGGTTGCTGTTGGAAGTGGTGCTAGTGAGGCCAGCAGGGGGCGCTCAACCTGTGGTCTGCGTGAGTCCTAATGCCATAGTAAAATTGAAGGTGACACTACACTGTCAGTGGGCGCCGTCTTCTGGATGAGACGTTAAACCGAGGTCCTGACTCTCTGTGGTCATTAAAAATCCCATGGCACTTCTCGTAAAGAGTAGGGGTGTAACCCCGGTGTCCTGGCCAAAGTCCCTCTATCGGCCCTTACGATTATTGCCTCCCAATCATCCCCATCCACCGAATCGGCTCTATCACTGTCTCTCCTCTCCACCAATAGCTGGTGTGTGGTGAGCGCACTGGCGCCGTTGTCCTGTGGCAGCCGTCGCATCATCCAAGTGAATGCTACACGCTAGTGGTGGTCTGGAGAGCCCCCCCCCTCATGATTGTGAAGCGCTTTGGGTGTATGGCCATACACAATAAATGCACTATATAAATACACATTACATTACATTGCATGGGGAAAACAGGCAAACTCCACACAGAACTGCCAACTGACCACGTCGAGACCCAAACCAATGACCTTCTTGCTGTGAGGCAACAGCACTACATGCTGCACCACCGTGCTGCTCATTGTTGATTCATTTTATTCATTCAAATATTTTTTTCGGCTTAGTACCCTTATTAATCTGGGGTCGCCACAGTGGAATGAACTGCCAAATTATGCAGCATATGTTTTACCAGCCTGATCTCACAAGAAAACTTAGGTATTTTACGTTTTGCCAGTTTAGTGGCTAATTCGTACGAATTCTTACGAGTTCAGTCGTACGAAATTGTACGATTTTAAAAAGGAGGCGTGGCACCTAATCCCACCCCTAAACCCAACCGTCATTGGGGAATGAGCAAGTCGTACAAAATTGTACGAATTAGATTGTACAAACTCATAGGAATTAGCCACTAAATCAACAACTTACAAATTGCCGTGAAATTGTGTTGGTTTTACGTAGTGGATGCCCTTCCAGCTGCAACCCATCTCTGGGAAACATCCATACAGTACATACTCATTCACACTCATACGCTACGGACAATTTAGCGTGCCTAATGTTGATTTATCTCATTTTAAATTAGTTTGAACAAGCAGCCAAATAATTTTTGATTGTACACTTTAAAAAATGCTGGGTTCCACACAATCGATTTGTGTTGAGTTAACAGAAGCAGTTAAATTCGTTTTATAAATTCAAGTGGATTAAACATAAAACAATTAAGTTGTCGCAAAAAAAGTCCTTGCTTCAGCTCATTTAGTTTAAACAAACAGCAAACGTAATTTTTTTGAGTGTATGAAAGATAAATATCAGGATTTTGAAATGTAACTGTCGCCTCACGGCAAGAAGATCTCTGGATCATGTACTGGCAGAGTCAGTTGGCATTTCTGTGTGGAGTTTGCATGTTCTCCTCGTGTTGGCGTGGGTTTCCTCTGGGTGCTCCGGATTCTCCAAACATGCGGTTTAGGTGAACTGAATAAACTAAATTGGCCATAGCAAATGAGAGTGTATGGATGTTTCCTAGAGATGGGTTGCAGCTGGGAGGGCATCCGCTGTGTAAAACATATGCTGGATAAGTTGGTGGTTCATTCTGCTGTGGCGATCCCTGATGAATAATGAATGAATAAATTGAATGGTTTTTCAAGTGTGCGATCAATCCTCTCGCTTCAGAATGGCTGTGTGGAAAATAAGGACAAGGTTGGAGTCATCGAGAATTTCAAAAGGACGTTATCAAGGAAAGAGAAGATTAAAAACAAACCGAAGAAAAAAGATGTCTCTGAAAGTAAAGCCTACAGGTAGAATATCACAATTTTTGATGAATTTTTGTTCCCAGAAGCTGGTTATGAAGCATTCGTGCTTTTAAATAAGATATATTTTAACAATCATGATCCATGTTTAATATACAGTACGTTTTTTGCATTTTAAACAAGTTTGGACTGGATTTACACATTGTAGTCGTAACTTAACATTTTACAATTAAAACAATCTGATCAGCAACTTAACATTGAGTGAAATTTTTTTTTTTTTACATTTTTTTTACATTTTAAATTTGTTTTTTTTTTTATCATGGTTTGACCGCATTTTTTAACACATGACACTCTTTTTTTATTAATTAAAAATGGAAAAATCGCACCACTGGAATAAATGAATTTGTATGCAAGTTTAAACTAAATATTTCTCATAAAAAAACAGATTTATAAAACTGGTGTTCAACAATAAAACAAAAATAAATCAACAAATATTTATCTGATCAGTTTTTAAAGTTTTTTAGCAAAAGTTTTTTTTTATCAGTTTTTTAGCAATTTTACTAGCATTATATATATATATATATATATATATATATATATATATATATATATATATATATATATATATATATATATACATACATACATACATACATACATACATACATACATACATACATACACACACACACACACACACACACACACACACACACACACACACACACACACACACACACACACACACACACACACACACATAGTTGAAGTCAGAATTATTGGCCCCTTTTAAACTTTATTTTATTTATTTATTTTTTAATGTTTCCCAAATGATGTTTAACAGAGCAAGGAAATGTTCACAGTATGTCTGATAATATTTTTTTCTTCTGGAGAAAGTCTTATTTGTTTTATTTTGGCTAGAATAAAAGTAGTTTTTAATTTAAATTTTACAGTAAACATGCAATACTGTAAAAACATACAGTATACAGCAAGATAAATGGTGCTATCACAGTAAATATAGTATTATTGCTTTATTTATTAAGTTACTGGTGAACAGCTCCCACTAAATTACTGTAGATTTCACAGGAAATAGTTACCAATGTAAATCATGTACAATACGAGCAAATTGTCAACTTGGGAGTGTTATGTAATTTCTGAATGTGATATACAGTACTGTGCAAACGTTTTAGGCCAACATTAAATCTGTTCTTTTACTAGCAGTATGATAGATATGTGAATGGATATATAATGGTTCACTAATTGCAGTGAAATCCTATTTGGAGACAGAAAACAGCTGATGAAACACAGACAGTCATGAAATGGCCTTCACAGTGTCCAGACCTGAATATTATAGAGGCTGTATGAGATCACCTGGACAGAAAAAAAATGATGAGACACTCTAAACCTAAAAGAGCTCTGGAAAGTGCTAAAATAGGCGTGATATAACACAGCACATTATTTCTTATATTTTCTGTTTGTTTTTAATGAAGGGACTGATTGATTAGATATTGTGCAAAAGTCCTAAGGCAACAAAGCTGGTCTGGTGCTTAGGACTTTTGCACAGTACTGTATAATTCTAGCTTTTTGCAAGTTTGCTATTTGCTGTACTGTATTTTGATCATTATATGCCTGTTATACTTAACCACAAGTCAACATCCCCCTTAAAATGAACATTTCTTTTTTTTTTTTTTATTGAAGCACTAAACAAGACGACTTAGAAATGAAGTGGACTCTCCCGCTCAGCATTTCTTTAAAGGAAAAAGGTACAATAAAACCACTCAGTTTGCAGGAATATATGCACTTCTCAAGTTCTTAACATGTGTATGTCATTCATTTCTGTTTTCAGATGAGGACTCTTTCTTGCTTTCTGTGATAAACGATATTAACAGCTCCACCATTCACTTCAAGCTCTCGCCGGCGTACGTGTTTTATCTGGTCGGACGATTCTTAACCAGCAAAACCAGCCAGAGAAATAAATCCCACAAGCAGACTGAGCAGAAAATCTGCCTGGTGTTTGAAAAGATTGTGCGGATGATTCAGGATGTCATTCAGGTAAATAAAAGCCTGTAAGTGTATTGATCACAATTAAATTCCTTAATCTACACTTGAAGTATTATATAGTAAATTATAAACCCCCTGTGATTTTTTTATTTTTATTTTAATTTTTTATGTTTGATGTTGAACAGATCAAGGAGTTATATTCCAAGGATATTATATTTGTCATGATTATATATCATTAATATCAGTGGAACAAACTGTATTTATCTTTTTATTTTATTTTTTACTTTTTATTTAAGATTTTTTCAATATATTGTTTTACAGAACAACCCCTTCCCCAACCATTTAACCCCTTACACATGGGGGACACATAAAATAAAAGAAATATTAGTGAAATCATAATCATAATTAAAAAAATTTAAATAATAATAATAAAAATTTAAATAATAGGCATTGCCATCATAACTACTTTACAGGGGATACACTTGTACATCAAGTTACATTGTGTTTCATTGTAGTTACATTAAATTACACAGTGATGATAGGTTAAGCAACCTCTAAATATACATATCTAAATATGTTGTAATACTTTTCCACCTCTTCAGAAAAATATCAGTCTTCATTTGTAGATGTGCAGTCATTTTTTTCCATTATATAGACCTGCAGGATAGAGTAATTAGGCAAGTTATTGTATATCGATGGTTTGTTCTGTAGACAGTTGAAAACAAAATTAGCCTAAAGGGGTTAATCATTTTGACCTTAAAATTGTGTTTAAGAAATTAAAAGCTGCTTTTATTCTTGCCGAAATAAAACAAATAAGACTTTCTCCAGAAGAAAAAATATTATCAGACATACTTTGAAAATTTCCTTGCTCTGTTAAACATCATTTGGGAAATATTAAAAAAATAAAATAAATTCAAAGTAGGGCGAATAATTCTGACTTCAACTGTGGATATTACAAAAGGAGTATTAAAGTACCTAATTTTTACTTTCCAATCAAATTCTTTCCACCTAACTGTATCAATAAAATCTTTTATGTTATCAATAAAATCAATCATTAAAAGTGTAATTGCCATCTGATTAAAATAATTTTAAGAGCGTCATGAATATTTAATGACATTTTAATGACAAATTCAGCTTGTACCACTGTAGTTGAGGGTAAACAGAAATAATAATGGCGCTGTGATAAAATGAATCACGTTTATAATGGCTTCATGACAATCATGTTTATTAGGACAGGTTTTACTGTCTAAAAATGTCAAGTTGTCATGACAAAGACAAAACCAGTTAACCAGTGCTTCTTTCATTCATTCATTCATTCATTCATTTTCTCGTCGGCTTAGTCTCTTTATTAATCCGGGGTCGCCACAGCGGAATGAACCGCCAACTTATCCAGCAAGTTTTTACGCAACGGATGCCCTTCCAGCCGCAACCCATCTCTGGGAAACATCTACACACACATTCACTCACACAATCATACACTACGGACAATTTAGCCTACCCAATTCATCTGTACCACATGTCTTTGGACTGTGGGGGAAACCGGAGCACCCGGAGGAAACCCACGCGAACGCAGGGAGAACATGCAAACTCCACACATAAACACCAACTGAGCCGAGGCTCGAACCAGCAACCTTTTTGCTGTGAGGTGACAGCACTACCTACTTCACTACTGCTTCGCCCACCGGTTGTGGCGTATTCGTTTATGTCAAGTTTTCATAACAAACAATGTCATCTTTGCATTTAAAATGTCAGAATTGAGCGAATGACACTTAATAACAGTTGTTATAAGCATGCATAAAATCTCATTCACATTGTCATGTCATGATTATGAAGGTTTCATGACAGTTTTGCGAACACCCCATTCAAGTAAAGTGCTACCGACTTTACTTTCACACATTTTCACGTTAATCATCGACATGGAAAATTCTGTGACTATTTTTATAATCTTTTTGTTTGTTAATTTCTGTTAATAAACATCAGTTCATTTAAGTAAAGTATATGTAAAAAATACAATACAATTGGATTTACAGTCATGTTTCATTCTCTTGCAGAAACAGAGGAATATTGCGGTGTCTCTTGCTTTCTGGATGGCTAACGCGTCTGAGCTGCTGAACTTCATCAGGCGGGACAGAGATCTGTGCTGCATCACAGTGCCGACTCAAAACACCCTCGCTCAGCTTGTGCAGACGGCTTTCAGGTGTGCTGAAAGAGCATCTGCTTTAAGATGTTTACAGCTAGAGCAATGCGTTTTGAATGTTTAATGACGCATGAATGTTTCCTCAGGTATCTGTCACATCGGCTTCAGGTTGAGCTTGAAAATCACCTACCTGCATTCTTTGCTGACGGAAAAAAGGAAAGCGCTCAGGCAAAAGAAATAGGTAAAATGTTAAGCTTTTGCGAAATTTCTGTTTAAATCAGCTCCATGCATTTTATACGTCAGTCATGCACTCTGCCACTGCTGGAAGCCAGTGATTGGAGTTTTTTTAATTTACAAAACACAAAAACTTCATAAGACATGTGTCAAGGCCCTGGAGGCATATGGGTTATTTTGATGATGAATTTCAGCACTTTTGGAAGCTTTAATAAAAGGGCAACTACCCAACACCATTATACAGCTTGGAAGAGACAGGATAAAAATTTTAACTACCCCGAATGTGTTCGTCTGACAGAAGAAAGTCATATTTAGGGAGCATGAATCGCAGGTGGGTAAATTATGCCGTAGTATTTAGGTTTGGGTGCAGTGCAAAAAATATCTGTTGATTAACATTGTCTGTATTTTGTGATTTACAAGGGTTTACTGTTTATTTGTGGTTGTGAATTGCATTATGGGATGTTGATCTCTGCTCTGTCGACTTCTGTTGTGAAACTCTACAGTTTAACAAAGTGACTTTTATTGACACTTTAGTATTTTAAAATAATATAATGTAAAATAAATAATATGGAGAAAAATAAGTTTGTAAAATAACAAAAAATGTATTGGCAGTTTTTTACAAGATATTTGTAGCATACAACACCAACCCAGACAATATATCGGTCACACCCTCAGCTTGTTCCTTTGTTCCCAATCACTGCTCACCCTCACTATCCACCACACACCACACCTGTGAACCCTCACCTGATTACCGATCATTTGCAATCACCACGCACTATAAATACTCACCTCACACACTCAGGGCCCTATCATACACCCTGCGCAATGCGGCACAACGCGCGACGCAATTGTTGTTTGCTAGTTTCAGCTTGGCGCAAGAGTGGTTTTGACGTTTTGCAGCACGCTGTTTAAATAGCAAATGCATTTGCTCTCATATGTGCCCCCATAGGCGTTTTGGTCTAAAAAAGGAGGCTTGTTGAGGCACATTGCTGGCGCGTTGCTATTTTGAGCAACTAAAATACACTGTTTAATAGACCATTTTAAGAGGAGGTCCAAAGTCCAGCGCAGAGCGCGTTAGTTTGTTCGCCTCGCTTAAACATTGCTTAATACACACGGGATGTACAGCAATACGCAAATATCGTAACATATGAAAAAGAATTAAAATATTACAAAAATTATTATTTTCTTGCCTACATAAATATAAAAAACATGCTTCCATGCCTTTTTAATCTCAGTTTTTTTTGTTTATTCATGACAATTTGCTGTTGTATAATGTTATTATTATTAGCAGTGTTATTTATTATATGCATATTTATATTCTTTTTATTTAAAACAAGCTTAGATTTGCCCACCTGTCAGGTTTTAGACCATATAGGGCATAGCATGTGAAAATAATTCAGTTTTTTTGAACACACTTTGTTATTATTTTTCATTTATTTGTTTGCTGGAAACTAGAACTGAATTTAGAAATGGTTTTGAAACAAATATTTGCGCTTAATAAACGAAATTAATTATGTATAGGCTAATGGATGTCTGTGCGTACAACACGTTACCCTATCCACGAAAGTGAAAGTGAAAGTAAAGAATGAGAATGCCTTATCTCTCATTCTCGTGCTGTACTGTCTGTTTAACTGTTTTCTCCCTAGTGAAGTGCTCAGTTTTTCCACTTACAAAGTCGTCATGTAAATAGCAAATGCGCTATGGCACGACGCAACTGACTCTTAAAGGGAACGGGAGATGAGAGTCTGGTTTATTGGTTTATTCTCAAAACACACCTATAACTTATTAAAAGAATTAGCTCAACCCTGTTAGACCATGTGCCATGGCGCATAGTGGATTTTTTTGTTCTTAAAATAGCAAAAGTGGATTCGGACATGCCCTTAATGCTTTTGTGCCATGCACTTCAGACTTTACGCCTGGATTGTCAAAATAGAGCCCCATGTCTTTGGCTGGAATCAAAGACGCATGGTCTTCCTCATCTTCTCTCCTGGATTCTCATGTACTCTTCTGTGGATGTTCTTTTTCTCCTGCAAATGCAGATACACCTGTTTAAGGGAAGTGACTATTCTTATGTTGACGTATCACCAATATACTGTGGTTATCCACTGAACTGTGTGTGTCTGAGATTGGTCACCCTCTACAACGCCATTCTCCTGCTTCATGTTACATCTGTTGTTGCAATGCCTGAATAAATACCTTGAAGTTTTATCCCTCTTTGTCTTCCTTGTCTGACCGTGACAACATCACTTTAGACTATTAGAAATGTTAATAAAAGTCACTTTTTCAAACTCTTCCAGGTTAAAAGTTGTTGGAAGAAAGATTAAGATTCCATAATGCAATTCAAAAGTATAAATAAACAGGGAAATATAAAAACATGAATCACAAAATAAGGAAAACTGCTAATTTAAGGATATTTTTGCAGTGTAAACTATTACTTTAATATGAACAATATCTAAAACAATTTTTATATCTTTTAATTTTTATATTTAATAATATTAAATTATTTCCCAAAGATGGGTTGCAGCTGGAAGGGCATCCGCTGCGTAAAAACTTGCTGGATAAGTTGGTGGTTCATTCCGCTGTGGCGACCCCAGATTAATAAAGGGACTAAGCCGACAAGAAAATGAATGAATGAATATTAAATTATTTATATAACTTTTATAATGAAAATTACTGAAAAAAAATTATTTAACAGGAGACAGAAAATCATACAGGTTTAAAACCACATGAGAGAAAATAGATCATGAGATGATTTTCATTTTTGTGTGAACGGTCCCTTAAAATTGCTTCAAATGCAACAAACAAAACAAAAAAAGCATGTGGATTGATGACGTTCTTGTACTGTCATAAATAAAGAGGAGGGATGCACGTAATTTTCAGCGGCTAAAAATATTTTGTCATTTTCGGTTTTGGCTTGGACGAAGCGGACAGGTAAGAAGGTCACGTGACATACATTTCGCAACACTCAGGACTACTCTGCTGTCTAGTACACTAGGTTAGGGGCGAGCGCCACTCGTTGTACTTTTGGATAGATAGATAGAGTAGATAGTTAGGACTCGGAAGATCTTCGTGTGTTAATTATACTGTTTTTCACATAGTTAGTTAGCTAGATGCTTCTGGGAAGTTAGATTTAGTTTGGGTTTTGTTCTTTTCATTTCTTTAGCGCCGCCCGCGTCCCTTCTGCCAGCTCTCTTGTTTTTCCCGTCTTTATTTGTCTCAGTGTTTGTACATATTGTAAATAGGATATTTTTGCTTTACTTACTTTTTCTTTATTTTTGATTAATTCGTTGTTGTTGTTCACTTTGGGATTGTAAATAAAAGCACACATTTTTTGGCATTACTTTGGTTGTCTTTCCACTCATTCACTGTTTATATAAATATATTTTAATTAAATAAATGTCAAACCCCACACCCTAGACTAACATCAGGGGGTTTGTAACATTGTCTAAAAGAGAAAAAAGTCAAAAGGTTGTGATTTTCAAAGTTAGTATTGTCTAAGTTATGGGGTTAAGTTTAAAAAGTCGTTCAGGATTACATTATATGATAAATAATGAATAATTATTGCAAAGCATCTTTGGTTTGGGTTTTCAGAAAAGTGTGCTACGTCTGACAGATCACACTATTGTGTATTTCTTTTAATTTTTATTCATTTACAACCTGTTTTAGGCAGCACAGTGGTTAGCACTGTCGCCTCACTGCAAGAAGGTCACTGATTCGAGTCCTAGCTGGGCAGGTTGGCATTTCTGTGTGGAGTTTGCATGTTCTCCCTCTGTTGGCGTAGGTTTCCTCTGGGTGCTCTGGCCTCCCCCACAGTCCAAACACATGCGCTATAGGTGAATTTAATAAACTAAATTGGCCAGAGTGTATGAGTGTGCGAGTGAATGTGAGAGTGTTTGGGTGTTTCCCAGTGCTTGATTGTGGCTAAAAGGGCATCAGCTGTGTAAAACATATGCTGGAATAGTTGGCGGTTCATTCCACTGTGGTGACCCCTGATAATAAAGGGACTAAGCCGAAGGAAAATGAATGAATGACTGAATGAATGAAGCCTGTTTTAACACATTTTTTAAACGTTTTCAATCATTTCTATTCTTTGTTGTTTTTATCTTTTACACTTCTTCCTATCATTCTGGTTTATGTAAAGCACTTTGAAGTACCATTGTGTATGAAATGTGCTATATAAATAAACTTGCTTTGCCTTGTCAAGTGCATCCTGAGTTTCAGTTTTGGTCCAGAATCTTTATTTCAGTGCCTCTCTAATAAAGAATGCTTTCTCACTTTTTTTCCCCCAGAAGGCGTCTTGAGCACTCTCATAAGGACCATGAGTTTGTTGAGAAGATGCCGGGTTAATCCTGCTCTGAGCATCCAGCTCTTCTCTCAGCTCTTTCACTTCATGGGCTCCTGGATCTTGAACCGGATCACAGCTCCAGGATCCACGCTCTGCTCAAAGTACTGGGGGCAAACTCTACGGCGACGTCTCGCACACGTGGAGGCCTGGGCGGAAAGACAAGGCCTGGAGCTCGCTGTCGACTGCCATCTCAGCCGCTTAATCCAGGTATAGCAGATCGAAAATGAAGATGATGCAGTGTGTCTGCGGAGTCTTAAAAAAGTCTTCGGTTGCTTTCACATTAGCGCTTGTGGTCCGCACTTGGGTTCATTTGACATCATAGTACATTTTGCTGTGAACATGTCTTCTGAACTCGGGTGCGCACCTGTAAACCGTACCTGAGTCCGCCTGAAAGAGGTGGTCTGGGGTACGGTTCATGCGAACTCTGGGATGGTTCACCTCTGATGTGTACGCAATCGTACCAAATAACGGAAGTGAACCGCCAACTGTACAACAAACTATCGTTTTCATAACTTTCGTTCGTGTGTGTGTGTGTGTATGTGTGCGAGTGTGTGTCTGTTTGTCACGCTTTGTACCTTGGAGACAAGCGGGGCTGACCTAGGGCAAACACTGTGATGTCTGCTTGTCTCCTTCTGCTTCTGCAGACACTGTGTGATCTTCTGAATGTTGATAATATTTTTGCGGCAGATGGACACGAGTCACTGTCTGTATGTCCAAAACTAAAAGCTTCAGTTAAAGCAGAATGACCGCGATGTGCGGGGTTCAAAAGGAAAAAAGACAGTGTGAACACAAACCAACCGAGAAGGTGGCAAGGGGGGACAATCAAACTTTGGTACGGTCCAGCCAATTGAACCAAGTGTGAAAGCACCCTTAAAGTCTGCATGAAGTGGAAGCTGCGATCGTTCTTTTTTTCGTATATTGACGCAAAGTTGACATATAGTTCCTAGAAATGGAAAATTAAATGACAAAGCAGTGGGCGTTTTTTTTTTTTTTTTTTGCTGCAAGCTGATTGGATGTAGTAAAGTAGGACTTTCTATTAGAAAGATGGGGAAAAGGGTTTGGGGAGAGTTATTGCATCCTAACAGACTCCTCCTCCTCACCATTTCTGTTTGGCGTCAAAACTGACAGCTGGAGGGGCGTGGTTAAGTATGTTAGCCACGCCCAATACCTCAGACAGACCTAATCTGACAATTTAACCTAAACTAAACAGGAAGTGCATTTTCAGATTTCAATTTTAGATTACAAGGGCAAACTATTTTTGTTTCCTTATGATATGCACAAATGAATTGTTGACCACAGAACAAGCAATGCAAGTTAAAAAATGCATAGGGTTTTGACTTCATGTGTACTTTAATATGTCTTGAATTTCAAAAACAAAATTTTAGGCCTTAAATTTTTTAAATTGACTAAAATATTGTCTTGAGGGTCTTTAATAATTTTAAACTGGTTTTAATTTTTCTATGGCCATAGTTACGTCCCGACCAGTCTAGGGTTGGTGGGAACAATAACAAGAGTGTAAATAAATAAATGAATTAATTAAACTTCAATACTCAATTCAGGGATTTCCCCTTCTCCTGTCCCAACTCACAATGATCACAACGTTTATCAAGTCGTAACAAGGTTTGTTATTTTCTTAGACAACAAAAATATTAGAAGCATCTCTTCGGAAGGGAATCCAGGCCAAAATAGAAAAAAAAAGCACAGCTAACTTGCGGGGAAATATTTCTAACTTACCCGCTAAAATAAAAAGTACCCCAAATAAAATTACAACAAGCTTCCCTTTCTTCCTCGCTGCCACAAACCAGGAGAAAACGTTTTTAAAGTAAATGGCGATTCCCAGCCTACCGCTTCTATTCATAACCAAAATAATATACATATATATATATATATATATATATATATATATATATATATATAATAAGTGAAAAGCAACAGGCTCAGATCTAACGGCGAGCAGTTTAGTAATGATAAAATTTTCAGTTAACGAAATGAATCAATCACACCAGTAAGTCAACCAACAGTCTGGGGCAGGAGATAGGAGACGCTCGGAACAACAGCGGCGGCGACGACGGAGATTTGCGACCTGCACTGAGCAGAAAGATCCGTCCTTTATTCCTCTCTTCCAGCTTATATATGCTCCCACTCTCAACACAGCTGGACAGCAATAAAGCGCAGCTCTTGAGCGAGAGAGAGAGACCTGCGCATGCTCCACAGCGCACAGCACATCAGCTCCAAATGCATAAATAAAACACAAATCTCTCTTTCTTTCTCTCTCTCTCTCTCTCTCTCTCTCTCTCTCTCTCTCTCTCTCTCTCTCTCTCTCTCTCTCTCTCTCTCTCTATATATATATATATATATATATATATATATATATAGGGTAAATTATTTATTTATTTATTTATTTAATTATTTATTTATGTTCTAACAAAATTCAGGCAACAATACTTTTATTATAAATTTAGCATGGAGTTCATGTGAGTTAGATCACATGACTTCATTGGGGGGTTACACAAAGGGGGGACAGGGCACTTGTCAATCAGAAAGCTCTCATCAAAATTAGATGACAAGGTTAGTGACATAGGATTCTGACTGGATTAATGTTAAGGACATAAACCTGTCATAAATAAGACAATGTTCACAATTGTTGTCAAATTATGTTTGTAATCTATTCAAGTAACAAAATATGTATTAAAGTGTTTAAAATGTTTTTTAGATTTTTTTTCTTTTTAACATTTTTTGCTGTCCCACATTATCAAATATGATTGATAATGTGGGACAGCATGGTTTGGGTGATCTGGGACAGACTTTGAATGGGAGAATTATGCATTTAGAGACTTTATAAGTTAAATGACTACAAAGATGGAATGTACAATGTTCTGTACACAAACTCACACACACACACACACACACACACACACACACACACACACACACACACTAAATATGGCAAATTTACACTTTTTCAGGCCAAATACATATGTCCCAGATTACAAAGTGACCTGTCCCAGATTATCAAATTCAGGCATAATTTTTGTTTTTGACACAAAAATACTAATAAGTATGGCATGGCTCTTCTCGGTATAATATCTATATTACGTTTTCTTAGGTGGTTAGAAAACATCTTAGGGATTTCAGTAAAGTCTAATATGTGCTTCTAATAAGTTAGATAGACATTGAAATAGAGAGCTGAAGTCAAAATTGCAAAAAGTTTCCCAGATAACCTGAATTCACCCTATATAATAATAATAATAATAATAATATATATATATATATATATATATATATATATATATATATATATATATATATATATATATATATATAATGAACAAATAATTAATACGTTCTATAACGTGACCTTGTAAAGCAACCCAATAAGGCCAACACCCATCTAATCACCTACAATCCATCTCAATAAAACTTTTAACAAAACTCTATTTTATAACTCTCTTTACCAATATGGTTTGATTGTCTTCCTTAAAATAACAGTTGTTCAAAAGGAATCTGTGTATTTATAGACAATACACTATCTGACAAAAGTCTTCTCGTCTATCCAAGTTTTAGGAACAAAAAATAATAACTTCTAGTTGATCATATCAGAAGTGGCTTATATGAAAAGCAAAGGCCTATATTTATTACTTGACTAAAATAAAATATGATCATGCCTTGATTTTTAATAGTTTCATTAGGACATTAAAGTCGGACTTTGCTTAGACAAAAGTCGTGTCACTGAACAGCAATAATGTCCAGTATATAATATAAAGTGATGCTGCAGTGGAAACAGAATGAATATTGTGTCTGACTCCATCATGAGCTTGGAGGACTGCATCCATACATCTCTACAATGAATCAAATCACTTATTAATAAAGTCATCTGGAATGGAAAAGAAAGCGTTCTTGCAGGACTCCCAGAGCTCAACAAGATTCTTTGGATTCATCTTCAATGCTCCCACCAAACTTATTAGGTTTTAAAGCTTGTTAATCTCTGTAGCTAGTTTTGACATTATTTAAAATAAGGAATAATTAATTAGGATTTTTTTCATGAGGCAAGTAAAAATCTTTTCCACTGATGAAGTAATCCTTAGTGTTTAGCTCTGTATAAGTCTAAAATTTCATTTATAATGGTCTAAAAAGTCTTAAACTTGACTTAAACTTGCAGAAACCCTGTGATGAGAATCCAGTATTGCACTATGATGATACTGGTGTTTTAAATAATACTGTTTCCCCTCAGGCTACAATGCTGCTGACCATGAGCTCCTGTTCTACACGAGATGCCCAGATGATTCAGTCCACATGCTATAAGCTGAACTCAGTACAGCTCAGAGCACTCATGAGCAAATACCACTACAGCCCCAATCAAGCACACTTTACACCCGTAAGTGATTTGGTGTTTTTTTCCCCTCTCTTTCTTTGCATCATCTCTGCATTAAGTCAGAATTATTCACCCTTCTGTAAATTTGCTTTCCCAAATTAAATGATTTGTTATTTTCCAAATGATGTTTAACAGAGCAAGGAATTTTTCACAGTATTTCCTTTAATATTTTTTCTTTTTTCTTTTCTTTTTCTTATTTCTCGTTTTATTTCAGCTAGAATAAAAGCAGTTTTAATTTTTATTTCAATATTATTAGCTCCCTCAAGCAATATATTTTTAGTTTATCTACAGAAAAAAAAAACATCATTATACTATGATTTGCCCAGTGCTTCATTTGTAAATGAATAATTTCCAGAGTAAAACCTGGAATTAAAAGTTACCGTGACCGACGTCCACCACGCAGTTTCAGTTTTCCTGAAACATGATGTTAATAAGCGGTTATAGCGAAGAAAACATCAAATCAAGTCTTTAATTATTTTGTGCAATATAACGTTATGGATCAATCATGAATAAAAAAAAAACATGTAGATACAAACATAAATCATATGAAACATCACTATTCAGTTCACTTCACTATCATATGGCAAGCGAAATTGACTCACTCTATCTTATTGTCAAGAAGAGCCCACAGCTTCCTCATCTGCTTCGGTCTCCCGCTATCCTGATCCAGGGGCACAGTTTCGTGATCTCTTTTGATCAGGCTTTTAATATATATATATATACAGTTAAAGTCAGAATTATTAGCCCTCTTTGATTAAAAAAATAGATATATTTCCCAAATGATGTTTAACAGAGCAAGGAAATTTTCACAGTATGTCTGATAATATTTTTTCTTCTGGAGAAAGTTTCATTTGTTTTATTTCGGCTAGAATAAAAGCAGTTTTACATTTTTTAAGAAACATTTTAAGGTCATAATTATTAGCCTCTTTAAGCAATTTTTTGATAGCCTACAAAATAAACCATCATTGTACAATAACTTGCCTAATTGGCCTAACTTGCCTAGTTAACCTAGTTAAGCTTTTAAATGTCTCTTTAATCTGTATAGAAGTGTCTTGAAAAATATCTAGTAAATTATAATTTACTGTCATCATGGCAAAGATACAATAAATCAGCTATTAGAAATAAATACTTGACTGCCTCTTTGTCATTTTTAAAAATACAAATATTATTTAGGTTGGCTGCTATGCCATTATTTATTTTCGTTGCTCACTGCGCGCAAAACAATAATCACCAACCAATAAGAGTGACTGCAAACATAAGAAAGCTGATTGGTCAAAAGTGACTACCTTCATGTGTCGGACTCATTCAAATTTTATCTCTCTCACACACACATGCAGGTATTCACCACACAAAAGTTAGTGGCCGAGAAACTAAAATAAATACAGGAAAGAAGAACACAAATATCTGACATTTCCCGGAACAGGATCCGGCTCAAATTAAGCACTGGATTTGCCTAATTACCCTAACTTACCTAGTAAAGCCTTTAAATGTCACTTTAAGCTGAATACTAGTATCCTGAAAACTATTATGTGCTGTCATCATGGCGTTTAATATCTTGTGCAATTTGCTTCTCAATTAAATGTATCTTGATTTAAGAATATTTAGATGAGTTCATTATTTATAGGCGCTGATTGAGTGTGTAGTTGCTTTGGCAAAGTCCACGACAGACGTCCTGAAGGCAGAGGGTGGAGAAATCAGACTGGAAGAAGATCTAGATCTTCACCTGCCTTTCCTGTTGCCTGAGGATGGATATTCCTGTGATTTCATGCGTGGCATTCCTAAAGGATTTCAGGAGTTTCTAGAGCCCATCTGTCGCAAAGGTGCAGCACTGAAGCATTAAACGTTCTTCCACTTACTTTTTAAGAGGGACCTATTATGCAAAAATCACTTTTATAAGGGGTTTAAACACAGTTGTGTGACGGTAGTGTTTAAATATAACCAGCTTTTAATGGTAAAATTGTATTAATTAAATTTTTTTATAATCAGACTTGATAAAAACAGTCTGCAGAAACACTTTGATTGACATTCTCCCTTTGTACGTGTCACTATTAGGCCCCGTTTACACTGCCAGTTAAATGTGACCCGATTCTGATTTTTTGCTCATATGTGACACAGATCGGATATGTTCTATGACAGTGTAAACACAAATAGAACGCATGCATTGGGATATTCAGAGATCGGTTTCAGGCCTCCTTCATATGTGGAAATAAATCAGATATAGATCGGATATTTCACTATGCGACTGTCATGTAAACTGGCAGATCGGATTTATTGAGGCATTCCCGTCTGTGCATCATTAAACTTGCGACAATGTGGTGCTTCTTCATGGTTTAAATGACCGAAGAAAGAGCGTGTGTGGAGATGCCAACATGGTATACAACAACAACAGAGGAAACACAGAGGAGGATAGTGGTCAGTCGCCACAATTTGCTCCCACCACACCTAGGATCTCTCTTGTACCCACAAATCCCTCTGAATGGAGGACATCATAAAGCATATAAACCATAGGCGCAAGCTGCGAGGACAGCTCTTTCCCACCTCCACCTCAAAATCATTTTAAAGTTGGGCGAACTTTGTGTTGTAACTTTAGCTTTTGTCGCTATTAATACACACACTGCGGGCTACACATAGAACAACTTTATTCTCTCCAACACCAGTGCGCACACAGGCAAAGGCTACATCTTCTTCTACACACACACATCAGGACCATACCATTACATAAACTGCATGAGGGTAAATCTGGATTAAACCATACACTGCTTATACTACACTTCGCATATTTCACAGAGCTAAAAACAAGACAATTTCTTCCATCGTGGCTAGTGTGGCACAGATGCTAGAACCCGGCTTTATGCGTGCGTGACATCGTAAATTGTATGGCAAGTGTAAACACATGAATTGGATATGGGTCACAATTAAAACAACGTG